ACATAATAAAAAAATAAAATAAAATAAAATAAAATAAAATTTATTGTAAAATAAAATTTATTGTAAAATAAAATTTATTGTAAAATAAAATTTATTGTAAAATAAATATTTCAATAAATTTTTGTAAAATTTACTGTATCATTATATATTGCTAATAGAATTTATTTTTGATTTAAAATAAATACTAATTATGTGTAGCTATATGAAAAATCTATAGAAAGCAAGACAATAGTATATAGTCACACAATATTAAGCTCTATTCTCAAGATTCTACTATGTCTTAATAGGAGTAGTCTTTATTAAGTCTCAATCAACCTTGAAGTCTTTATTATAATCAAAATTGATTTATTCTAAACTAGAAGAATATACTTAAATATTACATCATAGAATGATGTGACTTATATCATATAATTATATTTTGCTAATGAAGTTTATTGTTGGTCTAAAACAAATACCAATCATATATAGGTACATATAATATCTACATTAAGTAAGACAATAGTATATATCCACATAGTTTCTTTTCTAGTTTATGACCATACCATCGTAATTCAACTAACAAAAGAAAAAAAAAAGATTAAAAACTTAAATTAAGCTCTTCAATCAAGCTCTTCAATCCACTATCTGTAGGATATGTTTCAAAAGAAGTCAATTAGCTATGCTTTGGAATGATTTAAGGCTTCAAAAAAATTATTATTAGAGAAATAAATTATGTGGAAGTGAGCTCCATCATTGATATCATTAATACTCAACCTAAAAGATCAAAATAACAAACTTACTCTTCATTGTTGAATAATATAAGTACCTTCACTTATTTTAAGGTGAAAATCATTATTGCCTATATCTCAGATATATCAAGTCTTTCTCAAAAAGCTTAATTAATTGTAATTGAAGACTTACTGTATGCCAACCTTCTTGATACAAAATACACAATAATATGGTGGCTATATTTGTACTATTTTTAGCATACAAAATATCTAAGTCCGATTGGAATAACTACAACTCTAGTTACATGGCTCTTTTATTAGATAAATGATAAGGAAAACAATTTTTTGTATTTTTTTTAGAATCTTGTCTAATATTATTTTCTAAAAGCATTTAATTTAAAAAAAATATCTTAATTCTTAGGATAGAACTTCTTCCTTGTATATCCAAAGCTATTAATACTTTACGTTATACATATATATAATTAATATCTTTAAATCTTCAAAGTTAAGATTTGTAAGCCTTACTTCTAATCCATGCATACCTTAAGGTATTTCTATAATATATTATCATATTATAACACAACTATATGATAAAAAAAAATTATATATAATTTTTATAATAAAAGAGCCTAATTAAAAAATATAATAGCAAAACATAGATTAAAGATAAAGAGGTAGTAAAAAAAATTTATGTTAATAATGTCTTTTATAACAAAAAGCTTCTACTTACTTTGTATGGCTATAAATAAGACAAAATATAATAGATTAGAAAAATGAATAATATATGCATCTTTAGAAAGGAATTAAGAGTAATTTATAGCAAAACTTTAAAAAAAAAAACTAAGAACTAATACATAGAAAGAGCTGATTGTGAATTAGAGTTGAAATCAAATTCCAAAGCATAAAATTGTACATCTACGGAATTTCTAGGATTCTTTGGCTAATCAAAGAATAAAATTATGACAAAAATTTTAGAATTTTTAGAAATAAATATACTTTTTTTATTTTTTTTATAAAAAAAATTAAGATCAATTAAATATTTAGATGGAAGATTATTGAAATTTGATTAGATTAGGATCTTGAATATTTGATTATTAAAGTCAACAATTTCTTTTGTAATCTTGAGTAATATATGAGCTGGATTGAAGAAAAATTTATGAAGGCATAATAAGCTTAGTTTACAAAAAAATTGTCAATTAATAGAACAAGTAAACAATTCAGTAATAAGTTATTGCTACTAGAAGATCAACATCAAGGTTGGACAATAAGAACAATTAATACTTGAGAAAATTAGGAGCTTTTTTTTATTTTTTTACCTTCTACAACTAAGTGCCAGGTGCATTTTCAAGCAAGACAATATGTTATATAACAATGCTATTGCCAAGTTTTCTATAGCCATTAGCATTGGCCTTTATAAATATTCAATATGATTGAATAATATTTATGCCAAAATTCTCTAAACATCTAGGTCAAAAATATAAAAATGAGTTATAAATGGTTGAATAATAATACCAATAATTATTAATATAATAATAATAATAATAATAATAATAATAACCACTTAAAAGTTATATAAAGGATAGATGACCTTTCAAGAAAGTATGTATAATTGCTTGAATTGGAATATATATATATATATATATATATATATATATATATATATACATATAATTTTTTTCTTAAATTATTATTTTAATAATGAAAAATCTTGCATGGAATTTTTTTTATTTTCATTTTATCATGAAATATTTTGAAATATTTTTTAATTCTAAAAAATAAAACATAATATTTTTCTTTTGCATTTTTGTTAGTTTACAATCTTTTCTTAAAAAACTTGGACTAACTAAAAATTGTGTAAGTAATAAAGAATGCTCAACACAATAGTCGGGAAAGTCAGTGTAATGAATGACTTTAGTTTTGGCACACCACAAAACAAATCTTAGTATAATATGTTTATTATGAAACAAATTTTTGCACAGTAGCTTTGTTCTGATTGTGATTATAGTAGTTGCTCAGTATCACAAATAAGATTATTCATCAAGTGCCTCAGTTGCAACGTGAACTGTCACAAATATTTATTCCATTAATTTCCAGTAATGATTCAAAAAATTACTTGTGCAGTATGGTTTTTCTTCGATTTTAACTAAAGATCATGTCGTCTTGCTTCTACAATACAGTAAACATACATTTGTTTAAGAATAAATTTCTTTAAGTACATTTCTGTTTTATTGTATATGCATATATATATATATATATATATTCATACATGCATACTGTAATTGTGAAGAAAGCAAAACACATCCGTCAAATTCAACTCATAAATGAACTCTGCCGAATGTGTCACCACATCAGATTCACACAATTTGCAATGGGGATTGCAGCTGCGGATCTGACGACAGCTCGTGATTGTCGCAATTCGATGAGAGAAGCGAAGTCATGGAGAAATTGCAGCTCCTTGATCGCCAGAAACTCCAAGTCTCTCATGACATTGTGCACACTGGCCCAGTGGATATAGTGTACATGTGCAAGCTGCTGTTTCTACCCACATCTTGGTTAGCTACTCGGCATGTCTTGAGCCATGCTCCAGTACAAGTGCCGATCTTTAAAGTTCCAACTCCACACACTGATTACCCCATTGTGTGCTGCGATGTAAAGTGATTCTGCAGAAGTTGATATGATGTGGATTCGGTTGGCGATCCCCACCAGTGGATGCAGTGAAAAAGATGATTGAGGCTGTTAGGATCCGAAAGCTGTGCTTTGGCTCACTGAGCAATGGAAGTCTAGAATCTAACTTTCAGCGGTTGCTGAATCGCGCTCCACCTGATAGGTCGCTCAACAACCGGATCCTCGATCATTTTGTGTCGGCTCATGTGCACCAGCACTGACTGGGATATGTTTCTGTTAAGCAGACTTGTACTCCAGCATTTTTCCTTGCAGTACAAGACTAGGACATGCAACAGATTGTCGCTTCTTTCTAGGCTGGATCAGCTTCTGCGTATGAGATGTGAATATATGGGTAGGACATGTAGTGTATCTTCAATTGCTGGAACTAATGAATCCTGTAGTCACGCACTTGGTGAGTAGATGTGGCAAGCTACCTGGTGGAATTCGGAAGGACGGAAAGGAAAAAAGGTCATCAGTTTCAATTACAGTTTTTAATGTTTTGTTCCATGCTGGAATTGAGAATGGTCAACTTCAGCCCACTTTCTCGCACTTTCCGTGGAACTGAGTGAGCCCTTTCCATGACCCACATTTCAATTTGGCGGACCAAACGTTGTGACACGGTGATTCATGCTTGCAAAATAAAGACGATTGAAGCGTGCAAATTGAAAATTTCCAGCCAACCTATCGACATGAACGTCGGGGGCTCAAGAAAAGATCCAGAGAGCGTGATCACGGAGTTAAGTTCCACTGGATGCAGGTCACAGAGAAGGTAGTCTGGAATTTGCAGATGTTAGCTTAAAGTCTGCTGCACATGCTGCCGCCGGAGAAAACTACACACCAATTGTGCACAATCTGCCTCAAAATTAACAATGTTACAGTATCCTCGTGATTGATACCCAACTTTTCCACAATCTAGGAATTGAACAGCTATGAGCAAGAGAGCTTCTGAATCAAAACACGAACGGGCTACAAACTGGATCGTGCCTTAATGGTATTCCGCATCATTACCTACCAACGTTTCTCGTCTGGTGGACAAAAACAATTTCTCGCAGACTTGACAGTCCGTGATTAGTCCGACGTGGTTGAGCAAAAGGTGAAATGACGATTAGACCAGGAGTTCGCAACGCAGACCCCCCATGCACAAACAAGCGTAGCATTGGTGTGACGAGATGAGATTTGGCACTTGACCACAATCCTCACCTATAGTTGAATTGTAACGGAAGAAGGGAGGATAGCGGCCCAATTTCAGACTTGTGGATTTGCAAATCCCATGTACATTGCATTTCCACATACTGCAGCTCATTTTCGCTTAGCTACCAATGACAATCTGGATTGGTTACGTTCTTTTTCGAACAGATCCAACTAATTTAAAAGTCATGAAGTGGCGTGTCCATCTTCATGGCCTCATTAGCTTAAAATGCTTGGGAGACAGTAAAGCTGGCCTGCGCAAGATTACGGATACTCCGGAAGTAAGCATGCGCGGGGCTACAACACACCAACCTACTCATTTAGTGTCGCGGAATGCGATCTACCAATTATGAACCCCTCCACACGTCAATAGTACTTTAGCATGCCCTACATCATAAGGCAGCCTCATGACATAACTAAGGTACAACATAACTACGAACAGAACATGTAACCTAACTTGAATTTACGTCTTCGAATATTTGGATATCCAGTTCCATGATGAATGACAATTCTCTGAACTTGACCCCATTTTTCGTACTCTCGTCTTTCTATGCCACAAATCAAGTGGTGTATGGAAACCACTGCGAAAAGAAAACTCGAAAACAAATTCCAGTTTCACGGCGGAAAATAACAGACATGTCGATGTCGGAAAATTCTCAAATTGAATCAATTTGTTAAAGCCCAAGACAATGCTGACGTTGAGTACTGTTACATTTCTGCTCTGCGCAGTACGTTTATGGAACTTTGGAAGATTATTACTGTTTTTGTAATCTGTGACTGTACAACGTTTCAATGCAATGTTACATCATTGTACACCTCTGCGGAACTTTCTTCTCGAACTTCTCGTTTACATCACTGTTGAGAAATCCACCTTCCAGTTGGATTTTTTCCAACCGCTGTATGACGACCGAAAATGTTGGTCGTTTTCTCGGATTCATGTCCCAGCATTCGCATATTAATCTGGAAAAATGTGCCACGACAAGAGGAAATCAGCATGCATACGTTGTAAAAACATCTGCATTGTGTGGTACGATTTTGCGAAGGAAGGTGTTCTAGAGATGGTTGTTTTATAGCTCAAGCCCATATTCAACTCCTTTCACTTCGGTGAAGAGAAAATTACAATTGATGCCAACACATGTCAGTTTATAAAATCATGTGTCGAGTTATACAATCATGCTCAGAGTTGACAACACTCACTTTTTCATTCCCGGCGGATATGTTTGGGCGTTGAAAACTGGACGTTCCTGGTTTTTAGCTCGAGCTATGGCAATGGATTTTGGCAGCTGATATTTTTGTTCATTTTGTCCTTCAAACATCTACATTCAACAACTACGCATATCAACACTGCATCACTGGTTCACCAAATTGTTATCAGTTGATTTTCATGAATTCCATTCTTGATGTACATCAAAAGCTTGGCTTTTTCTCAAATGTAATTCCTGTGTCACAGATCAAGTCCTTTCAAGTTCCTTTCGAAATTATGGTAAGAATGATGCAATAGAAGGAGTCTTTGAACAGGTCTACGCACCTCTTGAACGATGATAGAAAACGAGAAGACATCGACACTTTTATCATAATGCTTGTGCATGAACACCTCTGGAGCCATGTATCGATCTGCTCAATCAACATGATGGAAATCAATTATCTAGCAATAACTTCAATAAAATGGCCCATGACCTCAGGGCATATGTTGAACTAGAGTGACAGCACTTGAGTGGCAAGGAAATAAGCATTAGGGATTTCAAACCATGATCTGACATCATGTATCAACCAAACAAATAGAAAAGGGGGAATTTGTTGTGAAATTCAAAACCAATTCTATTCGTATTGGAGTATCAACTTACAAGATCCAGTCTCGCCAGTCATTTCGTATAGAGCATTGGCATCTGCTGTGAGTGGATCAAGAAGCTTGCCTAACCCAAAATCTGCTACCTTCAGATGACCGGCATCATGTTGCAAGAGATTTCTGCTCATCATGATACCACAAACGAACAAGGTCATTTATACAATAACGGAGTGTAATATCTACTCTAGACTGATCTCAACAGGGTGGAAAACAGGTGACAGGTAATGAAGTGCAGGTACCTGGGCTTTAAATCACGATGAACGATAGCATTCGGCTTATGTTCATGAAGATAGTTCATGCCTCTGCAAAATTATGAAGAAACATGTCTGAGATTCCAAGGAGAGCCACTCAGAAATTAAGGACAAGTACACAGGGGAATAATTACTTCACAAAATTATGTAGAAACATGTCTGAGTTAAAGTTTAACCTGGCAATATCAAGGGCAAAACGAATAGCTGTTTCCGCATCCAGTTTTCCCCTTTTCTGCATAAGATCATGTAGATCTCCCTAGGTGAACACAAAACATAGTTAAATACGATGATAAACCGAATTCAAGTCCACTTCAAGTCGCATTCGATGTGTAAAATTTGTTCAAAACTCAGACTTCAGAAGCGTACAGTGAATCACTCCTTACTTTTGGAAGATATTCAGTGACCATAACCATTGGCCGCTGTGTTGTCACAGCTCCCAGGAACTGCACTATGTTCGGATGCGACAGATTTGCCAGCAATGCTAGTTCGTCTACAAACTCCTTCCTGCTTGCCATCAACACCTGAGGTGTCAAGGGAACCAGTTGAACATCACAGTACCCAAATATCAAGATAGGTGGATTAGGTGCACCCTCAACACAACGGCATCGTATGAACATCCTAGGTACTAAATTCCGCTGCAGCGGCTTCTGGCGAATGAATTTCCTTCGCAACTCACAAATCTTACAGTGAAGCGTGTTTAAGTTTTGTAAATTGCCTTCGTTACTTGGATAAGATAAATATTGACCGTCTCCCTTGACAACTTACACAATTTGAGGATCTTTCGACAATTCAGCAGTGATGGTCTTGGCAGCGACCACTGTGCCTCTCCACTTCACAACTCGAATTTCTCCGAAGGCACCCTAAGAATTCATTTAAATTATTACACTTTGTCTCTGATGACCAGAAAATGCTTTCCAGCAGAGCTTCGATGCCCAAAGTGCAACTTAACACAATCAACATCAAAAAATTACAAAGATCGAATCTGAAATTCTTATCGGCAGATTACATCTTTACTCAGTCCTTTTCTGATGCCGTTCTATGGACAGCTACAGTGCATTAATACCTAGCGAAGTATGCGCTAAGTGTGTCGCTTATGAGAAATGGTGGAGTAAGCACTTACTTTTCCAATAAACTTGCCCTGATCCAAGTTCAGCTCTGCGATAGAGATCTCGAATTCGTCAAGACCATGAATCTGATTCACAAGCAGAATTTAGGTCATCAATTGAGGTGCTAGTCAATATAAATTTGCTAACACGGCCCAGATAGTCAGTTTTCTCTCACCTCAGAGAACCGCTCGATGGGAAACATGTGATTTACTTCTTACCTTAACATATCCGCGTCGGGCTTCAAGAATTTTACAGATTTCCTTGTGATCATACTCCTTCGCATTCGCCAACGGCTGTCCCCATACCAGGACACTCCATTAGCTCTGAACTGCTGAAAGGCACAAGAATTTTCAAGGTTCCTAGTGCTGATAGATCCTCAAGAACCTACTAGATACTTCCTGTGCAAGTTTTGTAACTTTTGGTCTATCTATTTCTCTGTCATAAAAGTGACGCTTTCCAATTATCGTACTCACATTTGATTATAAGCTGAAAGCAACGTGTGACTAGAACGCCCATGTCAAATTCAAGTACATATTGCTTCTTGTTAACCACAAGGATTAATTTCTTAGGAAGGCAAATCTAGTTTTCGGCATCTACAATTGAACAAGAACACTGTGCTTCGAGAAAAAGTGATGAGGTTATAAACGTACTGTATCTCCATTTCGATCTATTGGATTGACGTCCGCATTGTATTCCAGTAACAACTTGACTATGTCGGTGTGACCTTCACTTGCTGCAAGATGTAAAGCTGTGCGACCGTCATAATCCGTGGCATCCACTGGCATGCCTTGATCCAACAGCTTCTTAACGCCCGCTGCATTCCCTTTGCTTGCATAAAACAAAAGATTACCAACTTCTTCCGCTACTTTGGGCGCATCCATATTGATGCAGACCTGGAAACGGACCGTCACAAGATGATGCAGAAATCAACAATAATTTTCAAGACTTGACGAAGGCTTCAAGCTTATTCGAACTCTTGGGATCTCTTGCTTTTGGATTGAAAACGAATAGGATTAATCCAGCTCCTTGCTACAAGTTTTTAATCGAAAGTCTTTTTAGTTTATTAAAGATAGTCCACTCTTGTTCAAATAAATATACATGGGCTCAGCCATGCGTTTTTGTCTTCCAGAATAGAACCAATCTATCTACCGATCCAAGTTCTGCTTGAGTAATTAGGCTGACGTTGAGCTCAATCAAATAAACTGACGAATAAAGTCTTTAATCAAGAGTGACACATGGTTAATCTTTAACAGCGGTTTTATTGCTCAAGCACACCCAAGCAGAACTTCAAACGAGAAAACAATGCAATTTGACATGAACGTCTCGCACGGGCATGGCTAGAGCCAACCAAAAGACAACTTTCTTATTCTTCAGCTGATTATGATTCTATAAAACGAAAGACACATGTAAATACAAGCAAAATAATAGTGCCATCTGATTGAACTCCAATCTTCATCAGTGATGGTTCAACGGCACCACACCATTTGCACTTACATTCTAAATTTGCGGAGGACAAAGGGCTGAATCAGTCGTTGCCTTGTTCAACCTGCCCACTTAAAAACCCTTTCTCGTGCCATAAAGATGACACCTCACAACCAAGCAACGACGTGATCGATCCCAATTCCCAATTTAACACAGCTGCAACAGCTAACAAAATTCGAACGTACTCCCCGGAAATAAGAAAAGGCAACCACCTCTTCATCGCTACAGGCCACAAGAACCGAAGCACTAACGAAGCACTTCAAGGAAAGACCCACGGCACTAGCAAAGCATGAAGAGTGACGCAGTCATGGAGTTCTGACCAAAGCTCAGCGTCGGCCGGAAACTGCAAGTCGCCCTTGGGAGTTCCGCCCGTCGCCAACGCGCGCGTCTCAGCTGTTGATGCTGCTCCTGCTTCTGCTGACTGTCTTGTCTGTCTCTTTCCCACGCGCAACGCAACTCCTCGGAGTCGATTCATTCGCAGGCAATGAATCGGGTCCACCCGGATGAGCGTGGCAAGTATTGCGAATTTTGACAACAGTGCAACGAGAATAACCGGTCGCGGGGGGTGGGGAGGCCGTATGACGGATTCCACCGAATTTTAGCATCAGGACTTCATGGGGTCATCCGTCGGATTGCAGCCTCGTGTTGGTCCGTGTCCACGCATTCGCTTTGCTTCGACGGTGTGGGCGCCGCATACACAATTTCGGCGACATTCTACAGCGTCGCAAGGTCGCCTCGTGTTTCCGTTCTGGTGGTGACCACTTTGTGACGCCCGTTGAAGCGCGTCTGCGGTTGCGGCTTCTGGCGTCCAGCGTCGCGACGCGTCTGCCCGCGGCCTCCAGTTTCCACAATCACCCCGAAGCGCCAGGACTAGGGACCTCAGAGCTCTGATGGCCACGTCAACGCTCACAAAGCTTACGTGGTAATGAAACGATGAGTTTTTTGTTTGTTTTCGTTGATTCTTATAAGAAGTCGTATGAAAACTTCTCCAGAAAATTGAATATTTTCGTAAAATACACCCTCTGGTAAGTGAGAATTTTAAAATTGCTTTTAGATGTCATGCATTTAAAATGGCAAAAGAAAACATAACAAAAACAAAACAAAACAAAAAAACAAAAGTATTTTTTTTTAAAAGGTCATCATAAAAAGTTAAGAGTTACCAAAGGTGCCCATCACTAGGAAAAATAAGACCATTAGAATCCCTATAAAATTTTCAAATCTTTGTAATTTTGTGTTTCTTGAACTATAACCAAATAGCTTAACTGGGTAGTTTAAGTCAAAGGTGATTTTTAAAAAATTTATGAAATGATTAAATTGCTTATATCTTTTTGGAGTATTTCTTAAAATATATTATATTGAAGGATTGAGGACTGTAACACAAAATGTGCTTTGATAATTATTATTTCATTTAGTATTAATTTTTTCTTGGAATAACAGAGAACAAAAGAATGAAAGATTCCTGAAAGAACATATTTCAAAAGTGTTTAAAAAGTTATGGAATGGTGTGAATGAAATTCAGGCCTTGTGGTTATTGACATTAACATACTTATAAGCCTTGCTTTGTGTTCAAATCCATGTGACATTATCAAGTAGGTTTCCTCAATCGTGTTAAGCATATTCACATGATAATTATAAGAAGTACAAAAATTGTGGGTGACAAACAACTTTCTAACCTATATAAATGCATAGATCAACACATTATTTAAAATTAAATTTATATCATTAAACAAAAACGAACTAAATTCCATAAACTAGTAACAAGAAATTTGAACATCTAAGTATAAATATTGAAAATTTCATGGTTGCAGAACCCATGTGCAATCAATGGAGCATACACACAATAACCAATAAGTCACACACATATTGTTGTGTGTAGTGCCACATCTACAAATAACAACAAATCCATTGAAGCATTTTAATTCAGAGTTATCATATTCTTTCACAACACGTGTTAATATTCACTGCATCCTTTTCCACATCATGTCACCGACAGCTGCCGGTCGCGGGTGAAGGGCGGCAGGTCGCACCAGTCGAGAGCCGTGGATAAATTAATGGATGGGGAAGATCCTTCTAGGGAGAAATGGACGGAGAGATATCATCCATTATTGCGGTTGGACACGCGGCCATCCATCCGATGGCTAGGTGGCCTGGTGGAGCCCGTGTGAAGGGCTGGCGCGCACGCGGCCGTGCGGGCTGAGCCCCGCCCACGCGTGACACCCTGCGCGAGCCCCCCTGATTCGTCATCGTCGTGGCCACTGAGGATCGCGCGCTGTCGTTTCGCTCGCGTTATGTGGTAGTAACGATGCTCATGGGGTCCGCTGAAAAACGATTTTGGACCCCCACTTCTTCGGGACCAGCTTCTGTTGGTTGCTGCTTCCACACTCCTCCCCGCGTCTGCTCGGCCCTCGTGCTGTGGTGACTCGCATTGGCCCCGTCGTCCCTGCTCTCTCGGTATGTTTCTTTGTCCCACCGTACAATTTGTACCGCTGTTTGATTGGGTGTTTTTCGCTTCTCATTTGTTCGCCTGAGTCGTTGAAATTTGTGAGTTTTAGGAATCGTTGAGGTTATCTCGTTTTTTTTTTTTTTTTTTTTTTTTTTTTTTTTTTTTCGCGCGAGCAATTGGGTTGAAAATGGGTTGTGGTTGCAGGTGGGGTTGGGATTTGGTAGAGTGAGGGAGCAATGGCCCTCGTAGCAATGACGGCAGCTGCAATTTCAGGATTTGGAGTGTCGCAGGCTTCGCCCACTATTAGCAATCATTATGGTTCGCAGCGCGTATCCCCTTCGAATGGCACTGGTCTGGTTTCCATGTCTAGTCGTTCTTGCGCGCTGCAGAGGAAGGGGGCGGTGCAGACTGTTGTCGAGCTGCGCGCTCGAGGTAATTCGGGTAATGTCAAGGATTCCAGGGTGCGAGTGCGAGGCGAGAATTTCAAGGTCGCGGCACGGAGCCCTGAAACTGCAGCCTCGGAGAGTATTAGCATGGATGATTTTTCATCCGTGGAAGAGTTGAAGGCAGCATTGATTAATTCTCTAGAAGGTGTGCACCTCTTCCAAGTTGTTTTATCCTCTAAGCAAGGAACATCAAGTGTAGAGTAGAGGTTAAGGTGCATTTGCAATTTTTGAGGTGTGTTGCGTTCCGATTGGATAGGTTTTTTCTAGTCGTATATGGCCTCCGCTCACGCTATTTCGAATAGTTTGTACTCTGCACTACAAGTCATCCTGCCGTCTGGTTGAGTTAAATAGAGCTTCAAAATAGGGGGTACAATGGCGCGAGAGCTTGAAGGTTGTAGGATGTACTTGTGGGGTGAGTGCAGGTGTAATGCCTCATGTACGCAGGCTTGAACAGGGGCATTTTTGGAGTTCAGAATGCTCGCAAGGTAGAAATTGCAAGTCTGCTGCAACTTCTTGAGGCCGCTAATCCAGATCCTCGACCAACCGACAATTTGGATAAGGTTTCATTCCAAACACTGTTTTGTTTGATATTATCAGGAAATTATCTTTTGTCTAGTTTGATAGATAGCGCATCACATAATTTACAGTCCATGGCGTGACCTAGAAAATTTGCATAGTGGCTGCTATGGCGTGTTGGAATGTGGTGACATAGGCAATCTGAGTGGATCATAGCTGCCTGTTGGCGTTGAATCATGACAGTTCTCAAACATGGTTAGAGGCAAGTTGATGGGCAGGGTGGTTAAAATTCAACTTTTGGTGTACAATAATCTCCTTGAATTTTTTGACGCTCTCAAGCCAAGGACTTGGACTTTAACTAACTGCAGCTCCTTAGTAACAAATAGTGTGTAGTCTGTGGCTATCTCTGTTGGAGATGGTTTAGAATCGTTTCATGTTGATAGTAGATTGGACTTTACTTACAGGGTTTGGTGTGGTGGCTGCCTTAACCAGGTGAAAGGCGATTGGAAACTCTTGTACAGTACTATTTCAATTTTAGGCTCTAAGCGGACAAAACTCGGCCTGCGTGACTTCATCAATCTTGGTGACTTCGTGCAAATTATTGATGTTGATCAGGTTTGTTGTGTGAAACTATCGCTGAATGACAAGTTTTCTTCTTCTTCTCCCCACTACCTTGAAGCAAAGCTGGATTCATATTTCTAGGTCCCCTCTTACCTTCTGTATCCTTATCCTATGTTCAGTGAAAGTGAAGATCGATTGTCTTTCGTGTTATTGTGCTGATAATGTGCTATGTACATGGCGATAGGAGAAGGCCGTAAACAGAGTGACTTTCAGCGTCGCGGGCCTCGGGATGCTATCGGGTTCCTTCACCATTGAAGCCTCATATAAGATTGTCTCTCCCACGGTGAGAAACTTTGGTTCCTTTTGAGATCTTTCGATTTGTGCGATGTTTTTTTCTTTCTAGAAGGGGAATAAAAGACACTGCCACTTGCATATACTAACTTTGTTTCCTCCTCACGAATTGGCATGTATTAAGTTTACACTCTGAAGCATTAATTAGCTACTGGGGCGGAATGTTCATAGCCTCGTCACTTATGTAACACTACCTTGAGGATTGCATTGACTAGTTTCACATGGTTTTGTGCAGAGAGTCGATATTAAATTTCAGAACTCCACTTTAGTGCCAGACCAACTCCTTTCTTTGTTTCAGAAGAACTACGACCTGTTGCTTAGTATTTTCAATCCAGAAGGCTGGCTGGAGATCACATACATTGATGACAGTCTACGGATAGGCCGTGATGATAAAGGCAATGTTTTCCTTCTTGAAAGGATGTAGTGAGGTATTAGCATCCTATACGAACTCATTAGGAGGCAGATGTTGCATTTATTTGGTGGCTCTAGGTTGACCATGTTTGGTTCAATCTAAGTTGCTGAAAGTTTCAGATCTTGGCATTTTTTAAGGTTTTCCTAATCTCCACCTGAATCTAAGTACTTCAAAATTTAAGATTAGCTGAAAATATGCCTGCAAGGGCTTTGTGCTATCCAAGTCTGAGTAGCGTGATGATTGGAGCTGGTTGAACTTCTCCTCTGCATTATGAAATTACAGGGTATGAGTGTGTTCATGTATTTATGAAGATTGGTGGTCTCACATACCAGTGACAGGTAAGTGGGTTGAGAAATGTGACGGTGGAAAGTGTTAAAAAGCGTCTTCTAAGGGTTGAAGGCACGTATGCTGTCATGTCATGTCCAGAGGCACTGAAATGGGTCGCAACCAATCCGTTACTGTCTTGGTTCTGGAGAACTGGCATCTTGTCCTGGTTCCTGCGGCGATGATGCAGTTTCGAAGTCCATGGACTTGAAAGGGCTGACAGGATTGCCACACTCCACGTATCCGGTTGTAGATCGGGAAATATCGCAGTGCAGAAAATCTTTCTTGCCATCTTATGGCGAGGACGAATTCCGTTGCTTTCCCTGGATGTGGCAGGTTCTGTGACCGGTAGCCTAGTTTGATACGAAATCCTGACCTAGTGGCTTGTGGACTGGAAGTTCATTTAACGTTGGTTCTTACATCATCGCTCAGGTGTTTTTGCTCTTATGGTCATGCCAACTCAAGCTGTCAGAACATACAAGTTCATGAGGACTTACATTACTAGAGTTACATATTCTGAGTTAATCCTAATTTTCTAGGTGCAACCTTAACATTTAACGTTGACAATGTCAAAGTAGTTTGAGTAACTTTCTAAAAATGAATGCCTAATAATTGTTATACATTCTAAACAACAGCCAAATAAATATTTCACTAAATCTAAGCACATAGTTTTTTCAATACTAATATAAATCATTATGAGTGAAAAGAATTATTGAAATGCCCAAGAATCTCATTCTTTTTTCGTCTCTTTTTTAAAAAATAATAGATTTCATTGAGCAACAAAAAAACGTGAAAATACACCTGGGTGATACTTGCAATCCACAAACATTGAACCAATTATTTGATTTCCTTAACAGATACCATAGTTTTATTCGTTGCAATTGATTGTCAAAAATGGGAATAACATTTTGAAATTTGAACCAGAAATCCTTCGTACGTTGAATCCACTGGAATCACCGGAGTCTCGCTGACTGCATGAGCCCCTGCTCGGAGGAAACAGCAGACAACCTTGAAACGAAGATACACAGCAATGTTTATGAAAGAATTAATAACGCCCGTAACACTTTTCTTACACAGACCATCAACCAAAGTGTCTCTGTGTGCCCACAATACTGTGAGATCAACCTGGGAATATCACAAGCACTAGACTCAAAACAAGCCAAGTTTATGTAACCCATTTCTGACAAACAGAAGGCTAACCAACAAGCGCAGGTACCAGAACTAGGGTGCAATGCAATTAGGACTTAAGCCCACCGACTTTCACAATTCTACCCTCAGCGTGCTCTAACGCTGATCAGGCTCAGAATCAGCTAATCCCGAGCTCCATGTTGATTTGTTTACAAGGATTGGCAGTGAATATACAAGCAGCTTGTTGCACATGTGTGCGTGAACCTAGTTAGTGCTTCTGCTCTGTGGAACAAAATTTGAGATCACTTTCTATGACCACCCTCTCGCCCAACAGCTTCAGCGCAATCTGGTACCACTCCTCATGGAAGGAGCCTTACATGACCTCACGCTCGTAGGTGTAAGAATCGATGCAGTCACTGAACCTGGTTAAGAGATTTGCTGAAAGCCAAGATTGCCTGTACGTGTCGAAGTAGCCGAGACTAGCGCTCATGCCTGGGGTGTTCACTCTCACTTCGATTACCAGGCACAGGATGTTTCTCCATGCGCCTTGTCTTTCTCCCATCTCCTTCGCGAATTCGGGGTCTGTCAACATGCTTGCTAGTTTTGCGTTCCTGTCATACGCTTGCTAGATGCAGTCAAAAACTTGGCTGGAATGATGCACTCACTTTTCCAAATGCGAGCGAGTTTAGCGAGGTTTGAATTCCAGCCTTTCACGATTCACTTAGCCCGGATGAGGTTCATGCCTTGCGCGTAACCGCAAATCTTTGAGGCGTACAATGCCTTTCGGACGTTGTCGATTAGATCTTTTTCTATTAAGTTATAACTCAGCTAAAAGATTACCAACTTCCTTAAAAAACTTTGGCAGCCTCCATAAGTTCCCTTTTCAAACCTTTTTAGAATGTGCAGTGCCAGTTGTCGACATGAGAAGTATCAATAAGACAATGTTAGGTAGGATGCAATCGTAAGAATTACCGAGTCCATAAAAGTCGCTCGGCAATGACCACTCAAAAATCTACACTAATTCACATTGCAAACGCTGAGGAAGAATAGACCATTGCATGTCATTCAAGTTCTGCCGAAGAAAACACCACAATTCGCATTAGCTCTAGAGTCCACTCGATAAACCCGAAATCTTTTGCGCATTGGACTCTTAAGAATGGAAATATTGGTGGATAAAAACCAAAATGAAACAAACGAGAGAGTGTGTGTATGTGTCCGCGCATTGGTTCTATTCGTATCTAACCTGAAAGAATCGCAAGTCCAGGGACGTCGCAATGGTTGAAGCAACCACAGACAACTCAGCAGTCTGTCTGTTTGCCCGTTTACTTCATGCCCTTCTTGTCCCAAACCTTATCGACGAGCTCTTCCTCAGCCTGATCACCCAGTGCGTAGAAAACATCAGCAGTAATTTCGATCAGGAAACTTTCACGCTCTCCCTTGTTTCACTCATTGTACGCTCATGCAGCTCCAGGTTCGGCAACCCTTCGATGGACTTAAGCATATCATATGCCTTGACGATGACCTCCATGTCACTGTACTCAAACCCGTTATGCACCATCCTAGTAATATGTCCAGCGACTCGGGGGCCAACACAAGTCACACACGGACCACTGTCAACCTTCAGCACGACATCCTCGATGTACTTGTGAGCTTACGGCGTGTCTTCGGGAATGAGCGACGGCCCGTGCCCCGCACCCTCAAGATCGATTCCACGAACTCACGCGAGTCCATGAATTCCCAGGGGAGCATAATCCCTTCCTACTCGCGCAACGGTCTCATTCACCTTGCTCTGCGACGGACAGTAAACCGAAATCGGAAGTGTGGTTTCTCCGCAACGTTGAGTGGCAGATTGCGGCCCATCACTGCCAGCCTCGCCATGAAGCCCAATCGACGACAAGGCACCGGACGCCATGAAGCCAACCCAGCTCTAACTGCGAAGTCGCAACGCAGGCTGTGAACCGTCGCGACGGCGTGGCGCGGGACGTTGCAGTGAAAGGGCCCAAGTGTGGTCATGGGCACCGAATGCCCCTCCCTCCTAAGCTTTTATGTGCCACTTATGTAGGTGTGTAGCTCATTGCCATTGATGCATTGTTTTCTAATTATCTACATATCTCATCGTTTTCATCAAAAGTGAAGCAATAACTCAACTTTTGATCAATTAGAGATCAAAATTTGCATGTTGTTGCTGCATATTGCCCAAAGTAGCAGTGCAAGATCACTAGGTGTGGAGCTTGGAAGCTCTCAATCATAATTTTTAATATGTATTTTTTTGTAAATACTTTGTGGTCAATGGAAAGGGTTTCCATTAGTGTATATATATATATATATATATATAAAGAACCTTAGGTATAAGAAAAAGAAACAAAGAAGAATTATCATTGATCAAAATCAAAGAAATTATTAACCAACAAAAAGTCCTGCATAACTTCCCAAAAGACTTCCAATTTAATATAAGTAGTGTACAATAGATCATTTTTTTTAGTCCTTTTTTTTTTACAAAAGGTGGTTCATAGAGTTTTGTATTTGGTCCTTTCGTGGGTGGAGAAAAGTGGTGCATTGTGTGGGAATGAGCATGAGTGTGAGATTATTTTGTGTTTGTGGATTTGCATTCACCCAATAATATGTAAAGTGTTGGATTTTGGTTTATTGATATTTGTGACTTTGCTGCTTAAATGATTTTGTAAATAGGTAGAAAAAAAAGAATGTAATATTTTTAATAATTTATTTATGTTGTAGAGGACATGAAAAAGCACTAGAGTTGTGTGTTTAGATGGACAAAGGTCTTCCTTTGTTTGATTTTTTTTTTCTGTTTATGGACAAATAGATGTGGAATAACCAGACAAACAGAAAATATTATAAAATAATAAGACAAAATAATCACTATGGCTTCAACAGCATTGTTGAGCATTGAAATTTTATTTTTGTTTATTCACATGAAAATCTTGTTAGATGGTTTCCAAAATTAGTCCATATTGAAGCCTTGTTGATCTGAAATGTCAGAAATTACTGCAAAAGTGGAAAAAAAAAAAAAAAAAAAAAAAAAAAAGGCAACATTAAACTGCAAGTAGGGGTTGGTGTGCAAATCCTTAATACTTAGCATAAATCACATCCCATTCATGCTTTGCATGTTCAATTGAAAAAAAAAAAAAAAAAAAAAAAAAAATGAAAAAAATGAAAAGAAAAGAAAAAACTAGTTCATATACATGCTTATTTTTAATAAAGCAATAATAAAAGAAGAACACATCATAATAGTGGCTATCACTAAACTTTTATACACAAATACATTTCATTTTAACTTTTTTTTAAACATATTTGTAATCTAGGTTTTTATTCATTTGATTTACATGTTCATAGAGCATATCATAAGTTTTCCAAGTTTCTCTATCCAAAGCTAAGAAAAACCAATTGTGACTTTTATTTTTATTTTCAATAGTGTGGCTTATTGATCTTTAAGTTTTACCATCTGTATTAAAGGTATATTTGCACCACGCTGAAGCTGCAATTCAGAACTTTGATATTTATATAATTGCATAAATCAGAATATTTTGAATCAACCAATTAACTTATATATATATATATATATATATATATATATATACATTTATTTCATAAAGAATAAAATCTTAAATTTTTAGAATTATTTTAGTGGCCAATTGATTGTCTCTGATCGTCATTATTGTATTCAAACGTAGTTAATTTTTCTTGGTTTCTGTAATTGCTATCAACATGCCTATCTAATTCATTGTTTTATTTTGTTTGGTTTTTGTCATCTGGATCTAAAAGTTTTTGAAACGTATATCACAGTTAAATTGTAAATTTTTATTTATTATTAACACTTTTTAAATAATATTTTTAAATATTTTTAAAATGTTAAAGTAATGTTTTTTAATTAAAAATATAATTGTGAATGTTTTTAATCTAACAATGCAATTGTTTTTTTTACGTACGTGTAAAGTACATTTATAAATTAATATTTTAATTATAGTGGCTATCACTAAACTTGTTTTAATATGTATCCACCATTTGTCAAGCCAAATATTGGATTTGTGGAAATCACAGATGTAATGTTACAAACATTTTTTTGATCCAACACATGAAGCTTTTTTTCACTACGTCAACAACATTCAATAATTTCATTTTATTTCGTTTACTTTCTTATTGATTTCGGAATTTGTTAACATAAAAGAAATTCAAATACTTTCTCTTTCAAATCAGTATTGATTATCATTCACTCTATTTCCAAAGAAAAAAAATGAAGGTAATGAAACCAGACATCAATGGATAACAAATTATTGTGATAATCATTAAATCTGTGTACCAGGTTCCTTTCATATATATATATATATATATATATTATAATTTCTTCTATAATTTCTTGCATAATTTTAAAAATCATTTGCAATTATGCATGTATGTTCAAAAGATAAAAGATAAAAGTTCATAAAATCAATCTTTCATTACATCGTTATTGTGTGAGCAATTTTGTATTTTAACACCAAGAATCACATATTTTTGGATTGATTAATGGCATATAGACAGATTCTACACATCCAAATAAAATGTCTTGTTCTTTGTGAATCAAAAGTATATGTGCAAGTAGCACCAAATGTACATCAAAATTTAAAAGATAGAAATACAATTTTTATTTATGATTATAAGTAATGTATATGGAAAACATCTTCTTAATTATATACAATCAAAGTATACAACATAAGTAAGAACAAGAATAAATTAAATTGGTTAGTTAATGATTGTAGTAATTTTTTAGAATCATAATTTTTATAATTCACATCACTTTGATTTATGGTTATTTATATTATAAAAAAATTATATTATATTTTTGGACACTATTGTGATATGTCAAATTAACAGGCATAAAAGTAAAAGTTATACTTTAATAAATTTATAATATATTTTTCTTGAACATTTCACACCATTTTAAAATTTCAACGTAATTGATGATTTACAAAATTTGATATTCACGAAAATTGTCTCACAGTACTAAAGCTTATTTTTCAAGTACCAAGGCAACGAAGTTATTGAAGTAAAAACTTTAACTCTGACTTGGTAAGAATCGAAAGCATTGTTGAAAGCAAAAATAAAACATACCACCAAATATTAACCCAAAAAAACATCCATCTTTCAATGCACATGTACAGTCATTCAATATTTATTTATTTATTTAATATTTTAAACAATGAATTTCAAAATTACATGTTTAATACAATTGTTTAAACAACACAATGTTAGAGAGAATTCATTCATCCATATATTCATCATCACGTCCATCCATCCATCCATCCATCCAAGGATACGGATATTGTCCAGCAACTTGGTGGGGAAGGAGACATCTAGACGATTCCAAGATCAACGAATGTATTACGGAACTAATTCATCCATAAAATGAAATCTGTTCGTTATCATCCCAAGGCCACCACCATCGCGAGCGTCGGCCGACGCAACGCAGAAGCTCGAGCGATAGAGAGATTGAGGAGGAGGTGGGATTACGACGCTGGAGGGGCTGGAATTGCGAGCTTTGCAATCGATTCTACAGGTATTCACTACCCACCTTCGTGAAATTGGATAAAAGCATTCTGTGAAGCGTTGCGAATGCGCTTTTGCTTGCTTGCATGCGTCGTTGTTGTGTGGTTTGGTAAGGGAGGACTGTGAGTTCAGGACTGGGCTTGTGAAATGATAAGGAGGAGGAGGAATTTCGGTTTTTGTGTGCATGTGTGCTAACGAGGTTTTTGACTTCGTGGTGTAGCGAGTGGAATAGAAGGGACCCAGTTGAGTGACGAAGCGAATCTGTGAGGGGAGAAGTCATGGCGGTGCTGGAAAGTGGTATGTTGCGGGGGCTATGGCAAACCCCGGCAACGAATATGGGTTCCGTGTTGAGGACGTCGCAAAAGTTGCCGAGAGCGAGGCCAGCGAGGGTGACTATGGGATTGGGTTTGAAGCATCCTCATTCGCCCAATGACCCTTTTCTTGCCAAGCTTGCGGCTGCGGCATCCACTGAGATGGGAAAGGCTCAATTGGCTGGCGCCAGGAGTGATTCTGATGGACCTCCGTTGTTAGACATTCTGACGAACCCGGTGATGATGGCAGCTCCAGCTCAGGTGCGTCGGGTTATTTGAAGCGGGTTTTTCATGGTTTTGATAAGACAGGTCAAGCACCAACGTACGTGGATTACCGTGTCCTGTGTAACCATTTTTTCTTTGTGAACAGGTGGAGAGGACATCGGGCTACAACGAGCACAGGCCCCGTCGACCACCCCCGGATCTTCCCTCGTTGCTCCTGCATAGCAGAATTGTGTACATTGGAATGCCTGTAAGTTTCTTACGTCTTGAATTAGGGCGAGTTTCGAATTCGGCAATACCTTGGAATAGACAGTATTGACTTCGGCATTTAGGGTTTATCACTTTACCAAACTATTTTTCAGACCACGTACAGCTTTTTTAAAACAATATCAATGCGGAATTCATTTTAGTCTTTTCGAATCACTTTTCTTAACCACATTCTTTGGGAGATGTAGTGTTATTTTTCAGCTGTGTTTTGTATTCCTCTGGTCTTATGTGGATTTTTTTTGGAGCAGCTTGTGCCTGCAGTTACGGAGCTAGTGATTGCTGAATTACTTTACTTACAGTATGCTGACCCTCGGCAACCTATTTATGTGTACATTAATTCTACTGGAACCTCTCGTGCTGATGGTGAAACGGTAAACCACCTGTTTTATGATATTTGAATTGTGAACTGCATCTAAGATACTCACAGAATCTTATTTGCAACCGATTTTACTAGAAATTGCTTCAATTCTGCTTTGACTACTCTAATAGTGCATTTTCAATCTTTCTATTAAATTATGCATTGTGGCTCCACACATCTTAATGGTGTTTGTAGCCTCTGAGCTCACCTTGGTGAGAGTATTTGTGTTGTTTCGCAGGTTGGCTTGGAGACAGAGGGATTTGCAATTTATGATACCTTGATGAACGTTAGGAATCAGGTGAAGATGTATCCTTCACCACTAGCTTTTGGTTGCTCCTCTAAATTGTGGTGTTCAATGTGCGGTCCTTTGGTCATCAAGAGTCGCAGGCTCACAAGTTCGTTTTCTTTTTGGCAGATTCAAACCGTAGCAGTAGGTGCTGCCATTGGACAAGCATGTTTGCTTTTAGCATCAGGGGACAAGGGCATGCGCTACATGATGCCTCACGCTACAGGTACGTTAGTTATCTCCTTGAGCTCTATGCGACGCAACTTTCCTTAATCCATATTTTACTTTCTTATTCCATCTTCTACTTTTTTTGTTCTTGAATTTTATTTAATTATTTGTTAATTTGTTTTTATCGTCGCTTGACCGTTGCTAAACGGAGAAGTGCACATTCAGTTCAGTGTTTTCTCCCTTTGGAATAAAATTCTGTAGGCCTGGGCTGCTACAGCTCTCTTTTGGCGCTTTAAAATTCAGTTTCAAATATCTTCATGTTTTTGTATCACATGTTTTACATTTAAGTTAATTTTCCTGATGGAGAGTACAGATAACATGTTGCTGAAGTTGTTACTTGTTATATTGCCTTGAGCTTTGTGCAGCTATGATCCAGCAACCTAGATTACCGTCGACTGGCCAGATGTCTGCCATCGATGTTCATATCAGAGCTAAAGAGGTGTTTTCTTTTGATCATTTTTACGTTGACAGTTGACGTAATTTCCTTTGCTATTGTATAGGCTTGTCAGCGTGGGTAAAATATTCTAGCAATTTCTTGGTTTGATTCCCGGATTTTGTGTTCTGGTTTGCAGTTGATCAATAACAGGGATACACTTGTTGGGTTACTAGCAAAACATACTGGCAATGTAAGAATTCTCTCACTCCCACGCCCACTCCCTCGCCCAGCCAACTGTAGTGTGTTCCATGAAGGCGGACATGTATCTAGATTCTGTTACCTTCATATGTTTTGCTTCCTGGTTGAGAATTACATTTCAAATCCATTTCTCCAGGAACAAGACGTTCTGATGACTGGATATATTTTTGGTTTGCAGCCCTATGAGAAGGTTGCTAAAGTGATGCAGAGGCCTTTTTACATGAATCCTAAGAAAGCAGTGGAGTTTGGTGTTGCTGATAAGGTTGGTTGACTTTGATATAATCATATTATCGTCGTCTCTTAATCGTAATCAATAGATCTAAATAATTACCTTCTTTTCTGCTTGCTTCAGAACAAACATTTCTTTTTCTTCTTCGTAAACATGTTGTAGGAATCCAAAGATTTAAGACCTAAAAGACCATTTTAATCACAATTCTATCGCATACATCAGATTGCCAGGCCTGCAATGGTCAGGGTTTTCTGTTGAATATTTCGTTTAAGTTTTGCTTTGTCTGTTGCTTATCTGTGGTATCATCTGGTATTACAGATATTGTGGCGAGGCCAAGAAGCTATGGCCGAGACGATGAAGACAGAGGATTGGGACAAGGGCGCAGGCATCCGTGTCGTGGAGCGTTCTGCATCTAATGGGGCTGGAGACTCAGGCCTTGGTTAATCCTTCCATTTGTCAGCTTAGATAGTGACAAGCTGCTAGTAGTTTGTTTAGGTACAGAAACTAACTTGAAGCGTCTTCTTGTATCAACGAAGTACAAACGAAGCAATGGGATGCCATTTGCAAGGACTTTTCTAATTTACCTCTCGGACTGTGAGATCAGGACTGTGTTCACTTGTTGGTGGATTTGTTTCCTGTTTGCTAAGATCTTTTAAACTTGTTTTTCATCTGTTTCGCAAGATTGCAACATTCAGAAGCTTCACAATTTCACATTTCATAATCCCACATTCGTAATTTGTAATTTGCAGGAAAGTGCTTTTATCTTGGAGAATTTGGATCGAACAAAAAAAACAAATGGTATCAGAAAATCGCCTTTTGAACTGTGCTTAACATTTTATTTTTACTTTTATTTTTTCATGCATCGCATGCGCCTGGTCAATGAGTTTTAAAAGTCATCTACAATTCCTTATAAGTCGTAAAGAATCATATAAATAATTTCGATAAGTTGAGATGAAAAGTCAAATTAATGATAAATATGTGGGAAGTTATCCTGATTTGATGGAAATTATTTAGACTTGGTAGATCTGAGTTGAAGAATTAAATGTATTACAAGCTGTCAATGATTAATGGGTGATTGATGGGGTATAATTCAAAAACAAATCACGTATGTGTGTAATTAACATTTTCTAAAAAACAATTTTAAGCTAAAATTTGTCAAGACGAATGGTTAATTAGGTGAAAAGGAAACATAAAGAAGATAAGAATCTGTAGTTTTTATTTTATTTTCTTTCTTTTCTTTCGGCATTTTTGAATATTTTATTTTATTTTATTAATTAAATAATTCATTTATTTATTTATATAAATTATAAAATATGTGTAATATGAATTGTATCATTTTTTTAAAGATCATATTTTTACATATATATATATATATATATATATATATATATATTAGAAAATTATGCATTGACTACACAAACATTGATAAATAAAATAGAAAGTTTTAGTACAAAAAGTTCTCTCGATCAAGTCTACATAAAATTTTAGTACAAAATTCCTTTGCATTGCTTTCTTTTTCTTCTTGTATATAAACCATTCATGGGCTTTAATGGTTTTATTAATGTGTAAACAATGCCTCTATGTCACTTTTACAATGGAGGTTTTTAAATGATCATCTCCACAAAAATTCTATACAAACTACATAAGATTTCAAATTCAATTTCATAAGAATTAGATTCAAAATGTACATAGATTATTAGTTAATAAGGTAATTTATTATTCTTTTGGATTTATCTCTCTATCTTATCTTTAAAATCTTTATTTTCTATATTTGTATTATAAATTATATTTTAGATTTTGAATTTTTAGCAAAAAATATTTTAAAAATTAAATTAAACCATCAAAATAATAAAAATAATATTACATTTAAGTTTAGTAGAGTTGAAGTTAGATTTAAATTGAATTGGTTGTTGTTCTTTTTTTAATTTGGGATTGAGGTTTTATATTGACAAAAAAAATTAAAACTTTTAATATAATATAAGCTTATATTTATAATATAATATAAGCTTATATTTATAAAACCTATAATATTAAATAATATAATATAAGCTTATATTTATAAACTAATAAATCAAAAGAAATAAAAATCTTAAATTTATACTAATAGAAATTATAAGCAAATGGCAATAGTTATATAAATAAATATATATTTAGATATATACATAAATATGTATATATATACTATAAATAGATTATATTTTAAGGCTTTATTATTTAATATTAATAAAATTATTTATTATTATTATTATTATATGATTATTACAATTCATATAAATTATATTCTTTAAAAAAAAAGTATTGGTGTTGTTAGCATTTCTATCCAACTTTATAATTTGTATTCAACACCAATCTTGAATGCATTACTAATTATTAATTATAATCTAAAATATTCTTACATAAACTTAATTATCACATTTATTTATTAATATGAAGAAACAAAAAATCATGTAGCTTTAATACTAGCCATCTAATCTTGTGTTTTTTTAATTTATTTTTGTGGTGGTTTATAATAATAAAAAAGAAAAATAGTATTTCTAATATTATTACACATTAATTTTATTAGTATTCTTTTAGCATTATATTATAATATGAACATTTTAAATTATTAATTTTTTTTTTAGTGTCATGGATATATGCATGTAAGCTAGTAATTACATGTATAAATAAGTAGAAGTAAGTAAAAGTAGGTAAAAGTAAGTTAATTTTGTAATAACTTTTATAGAAGCTTTCTAAAAGCTTCATAGATGCTGATTTGACTTTTTAGGTGTCTTTAATTGACTTTTTGGGTTGGAAACGTGGTCAACAAATTGACCATGTGCCATACATGTTGTTAGCTTGAAGACCAAGCTAACTATGTGGTCCACACATAAAAAAACTTGCCTTGTAAGTGAAGGCATGTGTCCTACAAAGTCAACACATATTAGAGGTCCTATAAAACATCGCCACATAGCCCCTAATTAGATAATATAGAGACAAGAGTGAAGCCCTCTTCACTCTTGTCAACTCCTTTCTTGCTTCTAGTCTAGTTTCAAGAGTCTCAAGTTTTCTTGTCTTTTGTCAATAAGCCTTTCTAGTTTTTTTTTCAATATATGCACTTCTTTATTTCTATTTTGTCACTCTTTCTTTGTCACTGATTTCATTGATTTATGCATCAACTTTTAGTTCATGTCCTTGACATTTAAAAGTACTATTGATACTTTGATAAAATTAAGTTAAAGATGAAATTTATGACAATCATACAATTAAAAAATAACTATTTTTTATGATCTTGTCAATAGTTAGAATTTTTTTTTTAGAAAAAAACATAATAACTAAGATCTTAAATTTTTTAAATTACATCTTATCAACAAATATCTATAAATAAATTATTTTAAAATTATTTTAATTTTAATAGTTTTGCTTACATAACATAAATAATAAGACTAAGATTTTTTAATTACTATAAATATTAGATATAACATCTAATACTTTATCTAAATATACTAATTATAATTATACATATTTGTGTTAAAAATATTAAAATAAAACATTAATTTGTAAGATGATTATAATTTGAATTATTAAATATTCTATTAATTATATATTTTTATTTTAGTTCTATTAAAAATATAATTGGTTAATTTATTGTGAAAGAATATAATTGATAAGTTCTATTTTTATTGCTTAATTCTATTTTTTATAATCAAATATGTAATATAAAAAATATGTAATAATAATAAATTTTACGTGAAACAAATATATTTTATCTATTAAAACAACAAAAAAAGTAGACTAAAAGATCAAATAGATTAAAAATACATCCAAGTCTCTTAAGACCATGGAAGTCTTTAGAATCTAATAACATAATATACATTAAGCTTATGTATTATGAATAATATGCAATTAGTATATTTAGATATACAAATTACATGTTCAAGGCCATCATTTTTAACATGATAGTTACTAATGCATAAGAAGTAAAAGCCAATTCCAAAACTAGGAGCAACATGTCCAAGATTAATATTAAGAGACAACAAAGAAAGAGGAACAAGATAGAGAATTCAATTATAACAAAGAAATCGACAAACGAAATCCTTCTACTTCATAAAAAAGGAAAAGCTTGGCTCAAGAAAAAGAGGAGGGGGGACCCTTTCAACCACAAGGGCGGTGTGAACACGAAGGTCACCCCTTCGGGTCACCGAGGCGTGGAATTAGGTGCAAAAGTCGGTGCCACTGAGCCAGCAACCTCTAGGTCAGGGCACGCGACGCCCGACGAACGAAATCGAAAATCGTCCCCTTAAGAAACGAAAAGGTAACGAAGCCCGGCTTGCACTCTTTGTTTGCTTGTGTGCGCGCGCGTGTGTGTGTATTTGTTGTAGCTTTGGCTTCGCGAGGGCGGGGCGAGATCCGTTTCCCTTGATCGGCTTTTTCTTTGTCGTTGTTTTGCGGCTCCGTTGGATTGTGCCGTGTTGCAGCGATGAGGGGTGCGGCAGTGCGCAAGGCGCGGCTCGCGAAACTTGTGGCGCAGCAGTATTCGCAGCGCCAACTTCGCACGAGCGCGGTGAACCATGCCGTGCCGAGAACGGAGTCCGCGCAGGCGTCCAGTTCTGGGGGATTGTTGTCGAAGTTGCTCGGTGAGCGCCCCACCACGCCTGTGCCTGCATTGTACGAGCCCCTGCAAGGCGTACACCTCCCCCCTGCCTTGCCTGAAGATGTCAAGCCCAGTGAGACCAACGTCACAACCCTAACTAACGGGGTGAGGATCGCGTCGCAGAACATCGCTGGGCCTACGTCCACCATTGGAATCTACGTCGATTCTGGGTCGAAGAATGAGACTCCGTACTGCACTGGCTCGTCGCATCTGTTGGAGCGGATGGCCTTCAAGAGCACCGCCAATCGCTCTCATTTTCGTCTCGTGCGCGAGGTTGAAGCCATTGGTGGGAATGTCGTTGCCAATGCGTCCCGGGAGTTGATGTGTTACACTGGAGACGCGATCAAGACATTTATGCCGGAGATGGTTGAGCTTTTGGTCGACACTGTAAGGAACCCTCTGTTTAATGAATGGGAGGTGCAAGAGCAGCTAGCTAAGGTGAAATCTGAGACAGCGGAGATGTTGAACAATCCGCAGGTTGCGATTTATGAGGCTATACACTCGGCTGGATATGTCGGGGGTTTAGGTCAACCTCTCATGGCTCCTGAGTCCTCCCTGGGGCGGTTGAATGGTGGAGTTCTTCACGACTTTGTGAAGGAGAATTATACTGCACCTAGGATTGTGGTGGCGGGTATGTAGATTCTTAAGTTCGTCGAACTCGAGTGCCCTTGTTACCTTTGGAACTTGCTGCTGGGAGTCAATTACTCTTTCACTTTGAGTCCGTTGTCCTTGAGAGCGGCAGCTGTGATTGTAGCGAGTGCTCTTGCTCCTCGTGAGATTTATCTTTTGGGTCTAGTGTGGAGTGTTCCTTTGAACTTTGGGGTGTTGTACAGTTGGTTATATTTACGATGTAATTATGGAAAGCTAAAAGAATTTTGCATAGTTTTCTGGTTATAAGTATGCTTGGAATAGAATTCATGAACATTACGCTTAGCATGTGCAGGAGGGTTCCATGCAGCGGGTTTAGCTTTGAGTACTGCTTTCTCTGCGCGTATATTACTGAAGGATATGAGGAGCCATGTTTGTTTAAAAGAAACTAGATATTTAGTGTGAGAAGAATTAGGTCGATATTTGGAGCGTTCCGAGGGGGCTTTGTGGAAAGATCCTTCCTCAGTTAAGATCACCACTGAAGTTTAGAATCCATGTTGTTTCTCCGTAAACCGAGTGTATTTGATTCCTCAGCCTAGAATCGAGTAGTTGTTATGATTATTAATTTTATTATTAAAACGTCCATTCACATTCCAACAACCTACTGTTAGTAATTCTAGGGTTTAGTTGAGGATGAGCAGTGTCACTGATCCTTTCATCAGTTCCTAACATCTTTCACTTTTGCAGCTTCCGGTGTGGACCACGAAGATCTGCTTTCTGTAGCAGAACCTTTGCTTGCTGATCTCCCTTCTTTCGACCAGCCTATTCCTGTGGAGACTCATTATGTAGGTGGTGACTGGCGCCAGTCTGTGGACTTTCCGTTATCACACATTGCTATAGCATTTGAAGTTCCTGGGGGATGGAGAAACGAGAAGGATTCATATGCAGTGACTGTCCTACAGCAGCTTCTTGGAGGAGGAGGGTCTTTCTCTGCGGGTGGTCCTGGAAAGGGAATGTATTCTCGATTGTACACTGGGGTAAGATATTATCCGGAGTATCTTATCGTGAAAACTCTTTCTTTAAGATAGTTTCTGGTCATTGATTTCGTAGAAGTCTGTTTATGTTTCGGGTAATCAAATGCTCACTCTGATTTGTTAGCTTGTAATGAATTCATAATATTGATTCCCTTTTGATTTGTTTTGATTGATTGATTGATTGACTTTGTTTTTTTTTTTTTTGCAGGTTCTGAACAAGTGGGAGCAGGTGCAGTCTTTCACTGCCTTCTCCAGCATCTACAACGACACTGGTCTCTTTGGTATCCATGCCACTTCTTCTGGTGACTTCGTCCCCAAACTCGTGGACCTTGCATGTGAACAATTGACTCTTGTTGCAACTCCTGGTAAAGTGTCAGAGGCTGAATTGCAACGTGCCAAAAATAGCACCATTTCTGCAGTTTTGATGAACTTGGAGTCGCGAGCTGTTGTTACTGAAGACATTGGCCGTCAAATTTTGACTTACGGACACCGCAAGCCTGTGGCTGAGTTAATCCAGGGTGTTCAAGCCTTGACAGTGCAAGACATTGCTGATGTCTCCAGCAGGGTTATTACTACCCCACTCACGATGGCCTCTTGGGGGGATATTGTTCGAGTACCTCGCTTTGATGCAGTTGCTAGGGTTTTCCAGGTTTAGATTATAGATTCGCCATGTCTTTTTTTTGGTTTGGGCTAAAAATAGATTGAGCAAGTCAATCACTTGATCATATTCTGGTAAGCGAGCTGCCGAGTAATAAATCAGTGTGTACTTGCTGGACCTAGATCCTTATCCAGCTTCGTCTTCCCAGGATTATCAGGTTTCAAGTTTTACTAGATTTACCCCTCCAAATTATTTCGTCACCTCTAGGATTTCGACCGCTACAGTCATCAAGGTCAAATCCAATTAATATTGAGTGTTTTAGCCGAGGAATAATGAAGTGAATTTCAAACCTCAAAAGCAGACGAAGAGTCGTCCAAAATGTAGATGTTTTTGAAAAGATTTATTCATAATTTTGATGAAAATTACTCAGAAAGAGAATGCGAAGCATGCTTACCGAGAGTCATTTTTGGGAGCAATCTTCAGGGTCGTGCCTCCTATTTGTTCCTAATATTCTATGAGATTTCAACTAAGACCCTAAAGTTGTAAGAGGTTGATGAAATGAAAAGTGAAATTTAACCCAGATAATGGACGAGATTGGAATGGAAGAAGAAACCATTTCTTTTTGTTGCAACACATGAATGCTATGTCAATTTTAACAACTAAACAATTGAAGAGCAATTTTTTCTTAATTTCTTCTGGAAATGCAATCAAATAAAAAAGAATGATTTCAAAGTTTTGAATCATGATTGAGAAACAATTTCAATTTTTTTGTTATCTTAAACCAGAAGTAAATTATTCCAATTAAAGTTGGCCATTCATGTTGTATATTCATCTTACATTCAAATTTTATTTAAATAAAAAGGACAAAGGACATTATGAATAACACAAACTTATGTCATTCATGCTTTTTATTTAAATACAAGTTTATTCAAGTTTAAATACAAAGAATTGAGGATGGTGTTCATAAGTAAATTAAAATAAATAATAAATAATAAAAAAAAAGTTAAATTGACCCCACCATTATCAATTTCTACCAAAAGTACATCATTATGCTAATATGGTAGTACCCATATTACCATTCTAGTTTAATATTACCATTATTAGCACAATGCAATGTATCATTGGCTTTGAAATTGGATTAATCATGCACACTCAATTTATCAAAGATGTTTTATCAATGCCATTTCTATAGTTTGTTGCAGCATTGCTAGCAGCACTCAACATAATTCAATGCAATCCAATTATGCCTTGTAGAGCATTAGCCAATACTAAAGTCTTCACTTTAGATTGAAGCAACATTGCTAAGGATGTGTAATGCGACATTAGAACATCCAAACATTAGATGGAGAAATAATTCACCATACTAAAAACAAGCTTTCTGAACCACAATGAAGATAATGACAAAAGTTTGTGTATTGCAAATACATAATTTTTCAATGGAAACCTTAGATGGATGAATCATACAACAAACCAACATGTGATATATCGACCTATAGTCTCACTAGGTTGTATGATGATCACCACTTATCCCACTTAAGTCCATAGTACCACCCAAGAAAATCATGCTCTTGCATTTGAAGGAGCTACAAAAGCAAAATCAAAATTGATCAACTTATTTGTTATTTGACTCATTTGTTGTACAATAGGCCTCTCAATTGCACTTGAGAAATTATAAAAAAGTGTTACCAACTAAAATATAAACATAACACATCATATATTTTTGGACTTCAAATTAATACTACAACTTGTATACTTTTTTGGTAAAACCATGCAAATTGGATGGCTCAAAAATTGGTGGTGAACATTATGTACGCATTCAATAAATTTTTTTGAAAAGTTAAAGTATTCATCTATTAATGGCTAATATAGTAGACCATTTAAAATTTGTTTTTGCATCAAATATGCATTGTTAGATATGAGCATTGAATCACATCAATATAATGATGGAAGAAAGACTAACTAGATTGGCATGAATGGTGGGTAGTAGAGCACATTGCAAGAACGATCTACAAAGAACCATTCTTACTACAAAAAGCACTATCTAGCATTAGAATAGCTTTAACCTCCATTTAAACACAAAATTGTATAAGAATTTTATACAAGATTGAATAGTGTTATAACATCAAAGTTGACAAATAATATCCATTATATAACCAAAGTGACTTAAGTATGATGTCTTCGGCTCAGTCAATATCTATGACATCCATGACCTAGACAATTTAAAATCTTTTTCATATCCACTTTTTAGCTAATACCTACAGTATCTACAACTCTATTAATTCAATGAAATTAGAATGGTTAGGATTTTTTTAGATAAGAATACAAAATTATAACCAAATTTTGGCGACCTTAATTTTAATCCATTTCTCTTGCCTTCATCACCTTAAATCCTAGCATTAGGTATAAGAAAGACTAATAATAATAATAATAATAATAATAATAATAAAAAAAAAAAAAAAAAAAACTCTCATCATCTTCAATATCATGCTACTCTAATTTGATCATGGTTTTCTTATTCTCTTTTGCACTCTCAATGTCTCCTACTATTTGTCTTTGAAAGTCATAGATTCACAATTCAATTCTAGTACATGATTTTGATAATGGAATTTAGTCCAAAATATAAAGCAAAGAAGTCTACTATCAAACATGTTAGTCTTTGTCTAAACATGAAGTAATGTTGTTTAAGATTCCACCTACAAGAAGACCCGTCTAAATCACTGAAGTATATAATGCTATGAATACATGTAGTTGTATATATGGGCCTTCATGTAGATGAGTCAAATTGGCCCTTCTCTGCATTAAGTTTTTGTTCATAGTATTGAATTCTTGCAATGACCAATTTGTATATTTGAATTCTAATATTTTGTCATTATAGCTATTAGATTTATTTCTCTTCATTATTACGAAATACCTCTTGAAATAGGACTGAGCTATCTCAAGAGTCTAAGACCTTTTTAATCAACAACAACATAAAACCTCACCACAAAGTAGGACAAAATGAATCAGAATAAAACTAAACAAAACTAAACATAATAAGACACAAAAGACAAAATTGAACAAATAAAAATAGAATAGAACAAAATTAAATAGAAAGATGCAAAACCAAACTTTACCAAGAAAAAAGATCCAAAGCCATACTTGATCAGATGTCCAAAAGACCCTAGCCAATCTTATTTATACTTTGTCCAATCATCCTGAAACTTTTTAGAATATTCCTAATGATGGATCATACTTAGATAATCTCCTTAAGCCCTTTTTAGAATGTTCTATGGTAAGCCCTATCTTAATAACCATTCTAAGCCCTTTCTAGAATGTTTCATGGGAGGTTCTACTTAGATAACTATCCTAAGTCCTTTCTAAAATGTTTCATGGTAGGTCCTATATAGTCTACTAACTTAGTCCCAATTTTAGAAACTTCTAAAACTTCTCAAACATGGTTCCAACTATCATCCCTATATATCAACAATACAAATATTTTATTTATATTCCATGACATCTCTACTATTTAATCATAAATTTAAAATTAATAAAAAAAAAATTATGCCATGGAGACTACATACACCATGAGGATTAGGCACATGAGTTGATTGAGGCTTATATTTCCAACTGAAGAAGTTTTAATTCCAATAAGTGAAATTGAACAACAAAATTTGGTCTTGGCTTGTATATATTTATTAGTGAATGAAACTAAGCATTGTTTAAAACATAATTTTATTTTATTTTGAAATAATTATATTTTGGATATTTTATATTGTATAGCTAATTGTCACAAATTATCAATAAGAATTATATTGATTCATTTTCATATTACAAGAAGGCATCAATGGATCTTCCAAACATCAAATTTTACACACTTATAATAGAAGAGAGAACATAAGCATGGTCATAAATATCAAACAAAGCTTTGATAAGATAGAAGAGTCAAAATAAAACCTAATTCAACATTGACTTAATTTATATGTATTCAAATACAAATCACTTTCATTTGAATGAGTACACAACTTGCATTGGCTCATAAATAGAATGAAGAATATATTAATTTGTTAAGATAGAACTCTATTCTGATTCTGTTCAAACTATTTGGCTACTAGATCATTTAGAATCTTTAGTGTATTCACTTGAAATGCAATACATCTACTATTAATCTAAGTGTACCAGATAGGAAGCTATCAATAATGCACTAAGTCCAATTGGCAATGAATCAAATATAGTTGGCATTCAAGATGCGGATGGAGGTGAAGCATGAATATTCTAGGATGGATAAGTGCAAATATTTTGTCCAATACTTTTGCAATTTTTGCAATGGTGGACATTGGTACTTGGGCCTTTTTCACATGTTCAAATTGCAATGGATTTCTTTGTATTGAACTAGTATTTTTTCTATTTTTTGAATTGCAATGACAACCTTTTGGACAACTTACTAGAGAATTTTTGAAAGCTATTATCATTGTAGCAAGCTCCAAGATCTTTTCTTCCAACTTCTCCTATTTATATGATGCAACAAGTTCATATATCTAATCAACTTCTTTAAGAACAATAATTAATTTGGTAGCAACATCAATTTTCCTTATAGCAGATTAAGTTGTCAACACAAATAAATTGACCAACACATTTTTAATATAGAAATTATTGATCGCCAAAGTTTCTACATATTTTAACATCCTCTAAATTTGGTGTTGATAAGGAAGGATTAATGTTGTAAATACACCTATATATATATATATATATATATATATATAATTGTGTTGTTGTCTAAAACAATTATAGCTAATTAAAATTGCTCAAGCATAAGATTCAATATATACATTATTACATGCACAATAACTCTCTTAAAAAGCTTGATATTGTAATGGTGGCATATATATAGCACTTAGAGTTTTCTTGAGCCTTCATTGCTTTGATTGAATTTTCAAAAAAGAATGACAAAAAAATCTATATATTACAAAGATCTTTTGTATAAAACTTTACATGCAACTTCAAAGGCAAGTATTGCTTTTTTGCACCCAATGTAGTGATGCAACCAAGGTAAAGAGTTTTATTTTTTAAAATTTTGATAAATCACTCCTTATAGAGAATCCATATTTTTTGAAGATATGTAATTGCCTCTTTTGTTGGAGTGGGAGCATACATAGGGCAAAAAGATCATCTATTATTCATCAAAATCCTCCTCTCTTGAATAATTTATTACTATTGTCCATTTTGCAAGAAAGATAGTCCACTCATCTTCATCTTTGGAGAGATAGAAATTTTTTGATTAGCCAAAATGACCTTTTAAATATGTCATATGCAAAGAAGAACCTTGGATGTGAGAAATTCATCTTCTATGGCATTTATGAATGCTAAGTCTTTGTGAGCACAGATATTGACAAGTAATAAGTTTTCATATACTAATTTTAATTGCATTATTATCCAATACAAAAAAAAGTTGTGTTTTTTGAAAAAATGCAATCCAAACAATAAAAGATGTGTTGAAGCTTATGACTCCCATGACATATAGTGTAGGCATTCAAAACTAATTTTTCTTGTATGTGCAATCTATAACAATATTATATAGATATCTTTTTGCTAATTGTATACATCAAAGATGAGCAAAAAAAAAGACAACTAACCTTGTTTGTTTCATCACTTTTGTAGGCATAATGAAGCATAATGAAGGTTTTTCATTAAGGTGTAGATTGGCAAATGACCATGAAGATGAGCGGCACAAACCTATTATAGATAGTATACATGACTACTAGATTTATAGAGTCTCTTAGATGTAGAGCAATAACAATGTCCCTTGAAGCTACATCTCCAATAAGCATCTAAGTCGTTAGAGCTTTGTGTGCAAGTTAAAGCTGACATGTAATTAGATGGCTTACCAACAATGCCAAAAGACTATGGTTGTGACTCTCGTTTCAAATTGAAAAATTAGATTTTAATAATAAGAAGGACAAAGAGAAAATTGTAAAATGAGAGCTGCAAAGAGTTCACTAACTTGAATATTATAAAGCCATTGTTATTATTTTATTGTTGCTATGAAGTCTAAATTCTTTATCAATTATGTTTCTATAGATGTATTATGTTAACACACAAATTTATTTTGATTAATTCCATTTGAATCCAATCATATTTATCGTGAGATGTTGCATCATGCCAATATTATTTTTAGTTTAATATTAACATAAGTATTATTATATTTATGTAATGATGTACTTTTGATGCAAACTATTGATGGTGGAGCCAAAATAATGGCAAGTGGGATCAATTTAACATTTTCCTAAAAAAATTGATTAAATTAGTATCTGCTACAATTGGTTGTTAACTTCAAAAGAGTCTTGTTTTCTAATGATAATAGATTCATGTTTAAGTATGTTGTTTAGTTTTTATTTTTACTTTTTAATTTTTAATTTTTTTAAAATAATGTAGGAATCATACAATATAATTAAAGCAAATTCAAATGATAGTAGAATTATTGAAAGATTTAAATAAATGTTCAAAGCACAAGTATAATAATTAAAAAAATCAATTAAAAAACATAAAACATAAATAATAGCAAACAATATTGTTATTATGTGTGGCAAAAATATGAAGGATTTTTAGATGCTTAATAATATAATAATTAAAAATAAATTAAATTTAAAAAAATCTATAAAAAAAGATAATAATAACAATTATTTTGATAGATAATAATAATATGGAAATAAATGATCTATTTGTTTTCCAAAATAACATGATACTTAAAAGTCTTTATAATAAAAATCTTTTTCACAACAACATTTGTCTTTTCTATTAAAAAATAAATCAATAATGAGTACATTAAAATACCTATATTTATGATTTTAATTACACATCAAATACAAAAAATTCTAAAATATAATTCAGAAAAATTTACTAGAGAACTCGCTTGCAAATAACTTAAAAAGAAGAGATTGACAATTGAAGAATTAAGTTTATCTATGTGTCCAATTTTAAAATTTTGGTGTTAAAATATTGTTGTATAATGTTACATTAATTTTTTTTTTTTTTAACAAATATCAACTTTTATATCTTTCTCAAACTTTTTGCATAAATTTAAACCTATATAAGCCTCTTCACTACATTTTTAGTATTAATCCAAACAGTTTGCTTAAGCATTCTTCCCATTGTCATCTAATTTAAGGTCAATTCGACATTGCATTGCTAAATTTCAAATTGATTGATGTGACTAGGTATTTTTAACAATCAAGAGTACAAGCACAATGTCAATGCAATAGTCATTATTTCACATGATTTTGTGACAAGTATAATATTGTTTCTGTATCGATAATGATGAATAGACGATTATGGTATATCATTTCCAACTATCTTAACTCAAATGTACACATTACATGAGAATGTTACTTCAAATTTGTATGTATGAATATTGTATATACAATTTAAACTGTAAAAACACCAAGACACCAAGAAATGGAAAGTCGAAATAATTTGGGAAGGCATACACATTCCAAAATGTAACGCAAAAATGTTCGAATAATTCACATATCTCAAAATGTATTGTTTTGATAACAAAATAATGTGTATTAAAATAAATTTAGCATTACAATGTGGTGTAAGTAAATTGTTATATTGTACCTATGCACTCCAAACCTCGTTGTTTCACAAATACAGTACCAACTATACCAACTAAAAGTTTTACTTTGACAATAATCCGTCAATACACGGTAAAAAGATTTCATAATTCCACAATATCAATGCTACAATTAATTTCGAAGTCTTTATGGACAGCCTGACATGAGAAATAGCAAAACCGTTGAGAAGCTGAAGTTTGCAAAAGTATCTTTCTACTTATTGATGTATTGTACAGCTCCTTTTGCAGGGGTTAGCTAAAGTAAACCATACTCTATTCTCAAATAAATATCAATGGTTAGTGACGCAATACATTAAAATGCCAAGTCATGTCTTGTACTCAGAACATTAATCGAGCTCTAAGTGGTCATTTTTACACATCCCCCTAGTTATTCCCAAACCACCAAATCTGTCACACTTGATCCACACGATAATAAGAAAGAGGGAATAAACATGAAGGTGAGCTGTGACCCACTATGAGACGTTCTCATGCTTCACCCTAGCTTTAAGGATACCTGGAACAGGGGGCCAAGAGTTTTTACCAGCACCAGACATAGACGCATAATGAGAGCTGGGATGAGCAGGAAAATTCGAGCGCTGAAATACGCCTGAAACCGGCGGGGAGTCTTCCTCAAAACTACCAATCTCATCCTCAAAGTCGGCATGGACCATACCATCTGAGCAAGTGCCACCCGGCTGCTCTTGCAACTTCATTGCCTTGAGAACATATGCATCGTCATGCAACTCGAATGGTGTACTGCATGCACCCAAAATCTATTATATAAGAAACTGGGAAAAGAAGGGCATAGTACAAGATACCCAAAGCCTAGCTCCTTTCAGCACGTGCATGTAATTAGTAAGAAGATAGTTGTGCAGGGTTAGGACGGCAGAAGCTGATGGAACTTTAGTTCTAGACAGAGGCATTACATGTAAGCCATAATCACGGCTTTTCTATCAAAGGAGGAGAAATGATTAACGCCGTGTTGAGAATTTCAAACCTATTGAAGTCAAAGTGCACAACTTGCATATCCTCAGAAATCTCCACTTCCACGGTAGCCTGCGGTCGAGTCTGTCGAGCAACACCACCAGTATTTTAAGGTCAGAAAGCCCTACTCCAACACTCGAAAGAGTAAAAGTATCTATCCTCATTGACACCCGGAATAATGCTTTTGTCTACGAGGCCACGTCCAACGAACCAAGAATGATGCTTTGGACCTGACCCGATACACTAACAAGGTTGACAACTAGAATAGGCACCCACGGGATGAGGAAGAAGAGAAAAACGAACGAACGACAAAAGACAAAACAAGCCGGAAATAATTTTACAGCATGGAATAATGAAGAGTTCATTTTAGACAGAGGCAGACCGATGCAGAACCAAGCATCCAAAAAGCTGGTCAAAAAAAATAACAGTTAGCAATGCACCTGCACAAGAATAAATGGAAGTGCCACATGTGGAACTGAGTTGTTTCCCTGAGAAAGGCTTTCATTGCGAGAAACCAAATTACGCAAACCTGTCATCTGCAAATGGCCCAGCGTATGAAGATCGTTGCCAAACACAGAAAAAACTGCTTATGCTTTCACCTCCAAAGAGTGCTGGCGCATACACATTAACTTAAGATGTAACATCTTAATCATAAAATACCTACAGCTAATAGTAACTGATTGCTAGGTCGGATCCGCCAATCTAATAATATATTTCGACTGAACTCGGTACAAGAAGAACCCAACATAGGTGTTAAAGCTACTCAGCAATAAAACTGCGTTCTATAAAAGAACAACGCTTCTGTGCACTTATGGAACTAGTGCATTTTCGAGTAACATGCGGTACCTGAGACTGTAACTCATGTAGATAAGCAGCTTTCCGTTCAATTCTCCCTCTGATCCGCATGCTTTCAGCCTGTACGCATCCACTATTAGTTTCGAAACATGTGTCTTCCCCTGAGGAGCGGGTATTAAACAGGCTGGGCAACGTCATTCTAAGCATGGAGGTCCACGCTGCAAAAAACGAAGTCATTCAGACCTTCATGTTCAGAAGAAGATTACACAATGAACACTTCCGAATGAACAACTAAGAGAAAATTGCTAGAAAGGAGGTAGAAAAACTAGAATGAATTTAGGAGCGTTAGCAAATCCGAGGCAACCTTGAGATCTGCAACATCGTCAATACTGGCAGATGGAAACCCTTTCCACTGAATGTCTTTCTTATCCTTCAAAATAATACCCACAGCCATGAGCACATTGAGCGCATCATAAACACGCCGACGAATGTTCTTCTCATCATATTGTTGCTGGCCAGCACGCACACTAACAGTATCAGCTCCCTGAAGAAAAAAGTGAAATGATCAAAGAGACTAACATCGTCAGGAAGTGAGTTAAAACTCTGCACCTCCACACCAAAAAAGAGTTCCAGGGTGACCGGATGTAGGTGTTCCAAAACATTGCCTATTCCGTCTTTTGAAACTTTATTTCAGGTATACAGGCCCCTTTATCATGTCAACAAAAAGTACATAATACTATGATTGCAATAAAAATTGCATACACGACACTAGTCCACTAATCCTCTGAGTCTGATGCACAACTGAATTACCGTTGACCAATAAATGAAACACCGTCACTAAGATCATCGAGACAAAGATAGTCCGCATTTTTAGCTAAATGCAGGGAGGACGCACCTGATCAGGGGAGACATGAGGGCTGTCAGGATTAGTGAACTCGGCGACTAATTCATCGGCCACCTGTAGCAGGCAATAGGAACTTTAAGTAAACACCAAAACCGAGATAAACCAAACCTTGCACCAAATCGAAGTCATATTGGCGGCCCACTAAACCGAATTCGGAGAGAGTGCAGAATGCTTGTAAACAAAAGAAGTGACGATTGATTGAACCTTTAATAGCACGCGTGCTACAAACATGAGGAAACAAGCAACTACAACGAAAAATGAAATGTCCTCACCTCATTGTAAGTGGTCCGCCCTTTGCTTTCCACTTTTTCGCATACTGATTCATTTCCAAGTAATAAGGATAGGATATCACCATACTACAAAAGTTTAACTCAGGAGATTCCATTGCAAAGCTTCACAGATCCTCAATACATAGATATGTCTCGACACTAGTAGCTCTTACTAATGATAGGGAGAAAGGCGAACTTGACTGACCAACAGAACGACATGATTGAAGTGAAGCAAGAACATAAAAACATTCCTTTTAAATATTGGCTGGCTGATAGCGTAGAATGGAAAACAGGATTTCACCTTTCATGCTAAAGTGCCGCAGACCTTTCCCACCCTTCTCACCTCCAGCAGCCCTTCCACCTCGTTTCTTTTTCCCTCTTTAATCAAAACCGCAGAAAACGTCACAAAACTGCGGTTTACCAAATAGTAATGTAGATTGAAAATTGATAAAATAAATAACTAGAAACATTAATTCAGTACTCGAATCTGGATCATGAACCAGGATTTTCCATCGCATTAACTGAAGTACATGCCGTGTAACCTCAAGTAACTGTGGAACATGTGTCGGTTGATATTACATTGATGACCAATGCAGACATTGCCTGACCGACCATAAACCGGAATTGCAAGGGCATTGAAATCCAAACCCTAATAAGAAACAAAAACAAAATAAAATTTTAACCATTAAAATACACTCTGGTACCTCAAAAGGAAAAGGCCAAAAACCCTCATGGGAGACCACCACATGTGTAAAATGGAATCCCATCTCCACTTACCCAATAACTTCGGCATCGGGGGAATCGGGATCATCAAGGTGCGCGAGCCGGGCGTCAATACCGTTGCTCACCATTGTCCCAGTACATACACACGGCGGACTTAACCCCTCCTGCTGAAGCTGCTAAAATATGAAGCCAAGCCAGCATAAGCATGAACTACAATCGTTGATAGCAATCAAGCATTAGGAATCTGGGCCTCTATGCTCTGAATCCAAAAAACCCTACTAACTCTGGTCATTAACATAACTATGTTGAATCCCTGTTGCAGGGTTAAGCCCCTCTTATTGGTCCCCTCCACGCTGGAGACTTGCCAATCACAGTGGATTATGGCTTAACTCCACGATGTACAGCTTGCTCTTTGAAAACGACTGCACCACTATCCCTGCATTCACATATAACCCAAAAAACAAAAAAAAAACAAAAAAGTCAACTACAATCAAAACCTTCTGTTCCATGCTTGCTAAGGGACGAAACAGAGACAGGTAAACAAACCGAAGACAAAGAGTCGCAGCAGAGATGACAAAAATTTCAGAAAATGGACTCAGATACATCATTTCACCCCACACAAGAAATGACGCTCGTATCGACTCGCAACACGACCACTCGACACAAAAAATCCTGCATGTCCAATCGGAACACTTGCACTGCTATTCCAGATCCGCCCCGCTCAGCACCATTCACCAAAAGCGCCCTCAAAACATGCCCCAACGCGTGTCAGTTTGGGGCAGCAGCCTTAAACCACTGACTGACCCCACTTCCTACAACCCAACAAAGACCTAATTTCGAACACACTACTAGGACTGCCGACTCGAACGATCTCCAAGCACAATCGCCATTCAGAGGCAGAACCCTAATGGGAAAGAGCAACACGCTCGCAACAAAACCTCGATCATGAAACGAAAAAAAAAAGACGTGCATGAAATCGATCGGTAGCGAGGAGCGAACGTGTATCAACACCTGCGTGAGGCGAGACCAGGTGAAAGGAGACGCAGGAGGATTGCGTCGACATGGGGCTGCTGCTGCTGCTGGGTCTCTAGTGTTTCGAGGGATGTGTGAGAGAGATGGGCTTTGATATCGATGCTGCTGCTCCTCCTGCTCTCTAGTGTTTTTGCACAAACTCTGCGGCCCCATGTCGCATCGCTCACTCCGGTGCTTCAGCTCCGGGAATCGATCCTGCAATCCATCGACAATTTTGAAAGTTGACGTCACCATTCGTTCCTCCGATCCAGTGTCTGTTACCTAAGCTTGGCGTCGGGAGTCGATTCCCTGATTTGTTATCTATTTTGGTAAGTGTTGTAGTTCCACTGGTCAATGAATACATAGTTACAGCATGTTATTAGATATTTGTAAAAATTGATAAACATCTATTTATTGGTTTAAATTGAATGTAATACCTGTCATTTTTATTTTTTATTTTTTATATAGAGATAGGGGAATATTAAATAGACCCATTATTTTACTAAATCAACTCACCTTGTTGTAATCATCATTAGAAAAATATATCATTTCTAGAAACCATCATTCCTACCCCCTCATTTCCAACTTACACTCCTTTTGTTCTCAACTCTCATTCCAACCCCTTGTTCCCCCACTCGTAATCCTTCTCTTAACACCCTTAGTTCTCAACCATAGCAATAGAATTTCTCTTTGACACACTCCACTTTGTAAAAGAGGTTGTTTAGAATACTTGCAACAGCTTTATATTGAGGTAGCCAATAGTTTTTGCAAGCTCACTTGAGTTTTGTTACATCTTCTTATTAAGTTGATTATAAGTGTGCATTTTATTAATTGTCTCTATTGATATTGAGCACATCTCTATAATTTAGAGTTTTCATCTTTAAATTAACATATACCACACAATGACATTAATATTTGTTGTGTTTCATTGATCTACTTACTCAAATATTTTAATTCCCTTTTGTTATGTGGATAAACTAGAATAGGTTTATGTCCTTTTGATGCAAACCTTGTACAATTTTTCTTGATGTTTGGCAAGTCAACATTTCTTATTAATCAAAACTCCTTACCTCTATCTTTGATTGTACCGTGACATTACTAACACATAGAAGATCCATCATGAGCACATTGCAAAAGATTTGCATAAAAAACATTCTCATATATGACAATTAAATCAAATGTTATTCTAGCATGGTGTCATTATTGCATTTCCAAAATAATAGAGACAAATCCATTACCACAACCAACCATAGAAGAAGAAGGGGAAAAAAAAAAAAAAAAAAAAAAAAAAAAAATGAGTAACACTATAAAGCATTATATCTTAGAGTTTGACATAACATTTGGCATTGAATAGATCACCAAGTTGTAACTATTCATGTGGCTACTTCAATAATGTTTTTTCTATCATGGGTTCAAACACATCATATAATTTTTCAACGCAATTCCAATTTTTGCTTAAAAGTTCAATAGAGCTCTTAACTAATGTCTTAGCAAGTAAGATAGATGTCAAGCCAAATCCCACAAATTAAGCTTAAGATTTTAGGAGGAGATTGTTGATGCAATTATCTCTCAACCCTTACATCCAAACCTTAGTCATCTCCATATGGAAAGTATTCAAAAATTTAGCCATGATTCCATATTAGAAACCATTACACTAGGCTGTTATACTAGATCAACTCCATTGATAATTTCCTCCAAATGATTGGTCATAGTAGGATAAACATGTCATATACCTCCTAATACTTGCATTGTAATTTTGGCTAGAAAATATATAATTTTATTTTTTTGTATATATAGAATATCTATACCATAGCATATTATATTATCTCTATCTTAGAGAGTGAGAAGATCCACAACAACATGATGTTTAAAGATAACAATATTCGGATTTTAAGAAACAATAGTCAACAAAGTTCTCTCAATCTCTTGTCCAGTCATGCCAACTGCATATACAACATGACGATGAAAATAGTCTCCTTCCCTAGCTAGATGGAGCTAACCATCTTCACTTTGATTAGATAATGCACTCCATTCCATCAATTCTTTCACACACTCTGGATCTTCTTGATATAAAACTGTTGCAAGCATTGTAAATAACTTCTTTTGTAAAGTAGAATGTATCAAAGATAAATTTTACCATTGTGGATGGAAATTGAGGGTGTAAAGATGAAGACTACAAATCAAGGATTGAGGTGAGAGTTGGAAACAAAGCAAAAGTGGGTTAGAAATGAGGGAGGTGAAGATGATGTTAATGATAATTTTGGAGATGATTTATTTTTCTAATGATGGTTACAATAAGGTGGGTTGATTTAGTAAAATAGTGGATCTATTCAACATTCTCTAATATCTATCTATCTATCTATATATATATATATATATATATCAATTTTTATCATGGTGTGATAGAAGAAGTAATAATGATAATAATAATAATAATAATTGTAATTAAAATCCAATAAAATATTTTAATAAATATTTTAAGGATTAAAAAGATTTTAAAATTACTTATAAAATAAATATAAAAATAATTATTTTCTAAAAATATCAATGATTTTAATATTTCTTTTAATCATCTAAGTTACAGCTGATTAGTTGGCAAATACAAAAGAATTTAATTTAAACAAAGAGATAGAATGTTTGAATCTTTTTTTGAAAACATAGTAAATCTAGCATCAAATTATTTGTGACATAGAGTAAGATGCATCTTTTGACAAATCAAGATATTAATTAGGCATGTGTATCATAAAAATATATATATATATATATATATATATATATAATTTTAAAGTGCATTTATAATATAAAAAAATAATTGTGTCATTTTAAAATTTTAGAACTTTCCAAATAATTTTAATGCTCACAATCCAGAAATTGTTTATATCATTTGAAATATGTGTAATAACAACAACACATTCTTTATAATTGTAAAAACTCAAATTTCACCAACCTCTAACCATTTGATGTTATCTTTAGAATTAATCCGATTTAATTATGAATATTTTTACCTAGACATGAAATTAATCAGCAGAGCCAAGAGAATAAAATTTTTATTATAGTATTCAACTTTGGTATGATTTGAAATGTTGGCTTTAAAGATACACAAGCAAAAATAGTCGATTGACGTCATTGAGGACTGTTTCAAGAACTTATGAAGAATTGTCTTTAAAAGTTATTGTCAACCATATCATGAAGCTAAACATTGCATGATTGCTGTACATCTTTTCTTACTTTGTGAAGAAAAAGCAATCCAAACATTCCAATATAAGGCTTCGACATGTTCTGCTTGAAATTTCTCTTTGAATAGAAATTACAAATTATTCAATGGACATTTCCCTTAAATCATTAATTCAAAATTATTTTCTTAATGGCAAACTAAACGGAGATTGTTTTACAAAACTTTTGAAATGAACATTTTCCTTTCCTCATCGATCATTAATTTTCTTATCATTAGATTCGTGAGTTTTTGTGCAAACGACATTATAGCTAACATTTTTGCATCCACATCTCCAGGTGTAAGGCAAGCTAAACTCATTCCAGAATTTAAGCGGACAAGTTATAAAGGGAGGCTTTGAAATGCTTAGCAAAAGCTCGTCTGTGGCTGACAGGTTTGATGCAGTTAGGCCTCTCATTACGAATACAGGTTCAGTCAATAACATTCATCAAGATACACCAGAATACTACAGTTGAGTGCTTATCAATTCATAAGCCATTTCCAGGATCTGAGATGTACACTTGAAAGCTCGCTTCATACCAGAAGCTAAGAGAAGCTAAAAACTTTTCTCAGTGTGCCATAAATACCCTGCTCCATTGTTAATCGACTGAACAGGCGTCATTGACCCAGGAAGATAATTTACATGAACCGTGGTGCAACGGTGGTAGTGGTAACAGAGCCAATCGAGGCATGCTTATCGGCTTCACATGGTTGTGGCTGTCGCAAAAAAGCGGTATATATATATATCAGTGCAGTCAGAAAGTCGATGCGGTCCATTCGCAGTCTCAGCAGTGTCAATGGCAATTCATTGCCATCATCCTAAACGCCCACATTGGCGTGCTTGTAGGAGAGGTTTCCAAGAACCCTGACAGATCACTAGTGAAGCATATGTTTCTCATATACGGCAATGATATCACGTTTTGTAGCAGAGCCTTTGATTTGGGTCAACTCTTCTCCATGCCCAGCTTCAGTCAACTTTTCTTTCAGCTTTGCTACTGTCATTTTGTGATAATCTTCCATCGTCAGTGGTGTGTGATTGTCACGCGTTACCTCATTTGAATTGTGCCCTTCGTTAGTCTCCTCACGGCTGCTACTGTTCGTGAACTTTTCCCTCTTGCTTTTTTGCGTACTAGCTTTGTCAACTTCCGTACCTTCCATGTCCACTACCGTGTCCTCCATCCTCCTCTTAGTACGCATTGTGTAATCGCCAGGGGAGACAGTTGACACATCCGCATATGATTTCAACTTAGTATCTAGAGCAGTTTCATGATTCCTAACGGACATAAACTGTGTCTGAAGAGCGTCCAGGTCCCCTTGGACAGTTGTGAGTTGAACTGAAAGTGTCTCGGCACGCATGGCAGCCTCCATTTTGGCCTTTCTTTCGCTATCCAGCAGGGCCTCAAAAGCTTCTACTGTCTTCATCCTCTGCTCATTTGAAGATCTAAGAAGCTTCTCCATCTCTTTCTCTCGCTCTTCAATGCGGTTTTCAAGAGTAGTTAAACGGGAGAACGCTTCCTTTTCGGACAGCTTTAACTGATGGAGTGTCTGCGCTCCCACATTACACAGATCAATAAATAAAATACTGGGACCATGTCTAACATGAAATAGACGAAAATGGATCCAAAATTGATAGAAATACGGCAGAAACAGGCGATCGGTCATAGAAACTCTAGCGGCTACAAATTTTATGATATGTTTGTGCAGAAGACAATACCTGGGTCAGGTCGTCTTTTTCACGTTCGAGAGATTCACACCGCCGTTCTAAACGTTCGATAGCTGCTAATCTCTCGACAGCCAGTCGTTGAGACTCCAATTTTTCCTTCTCTGTTGCTGAAGAATCATTCCGAGCCTTATCCGCAGCTTCAGATGCAAACTTTTCTCTCTTCTCTGCAATTTTCCAGTGCCGTTCAGCCTCCTCCATTCTCTTCAGGGCTTCTGCCATTCGCTGTTCAGCATGTTGTTTGTCTTGACGCGCTTTGTCAAGATCTTTTCGCAAATTTACTGTTGTTGATACTCTAGATTCAAACTCAGCATGCGAATGCCGTAATTCTGTTTTCAAGGTCGATAACTCCGTAGCCTGATTGTTACACTTTGATTCTTGCTCCTGCATCCACAATACGACACGTGTTTATACTATGTATTACTTTCTCAATAGTTCTCATTCAAATCTCGTCGCTCACACTTCAATGCCTGAGTTCCTGAATCGATGTCACAGGGAAGAGAAAAAGATAACACATATGTGCCGTTCCGGGTAATATGAACCAAATTACAGTCAGGAAGCAAGACACCTTCATTGCAGCAAATGCAAAATTGGGATCTCCAAATTTTTAAGCCAAGTGATTTTTAATTTGTATATCCATTTTCTAAAATGCAACCTCACAGACCCAATTCCATACTTACATAAAGGCGAGTTAACAGAGAAGAAATCTGACGCTCTCCATGCTCGAACTTAGCTTGCAAATCTTTTAGCTCACCGTCCTGCAGGAAATTTTAAGATAAGTTTGGGTATTAACATAAAAAATAAAAATAAAAAATAAAAAAACTAATTATCTTCGGCCAGCTACAGTAATCGAGTTCTGGAAAAATAAAACAAACTTCGTACTGTATGTATGGGTACCTTTTGTGCTGCAGCAGCGGCGAACTCTGCTCTAAGCGCATCCTCCCGAAGCTGTGCCTGTCTTATGGCTCTGTCCTTCGACACGGTAGCCCTTTCAATTGCAGCTTTAGTGTCTGCTTCGATAGTGTCATGCTTATGTCTCCACTCAACAGCTTCCTCCTTCGCAGCATCACATTGCTCCCGCATGGCTGCCAAACGAGCCTCGGCAGTCGTACATCGGTTCTGTAACGCAGAAACCACACGTTGAATCATAACAACAAACCAGAAGGTATAATACATTCGCATACACCAACAAAAGAAAGGAAAAAAATATCGCGAATGCATGAGTTTTTCTGATATTCATACTTCATTGTCATGATAGACTCAGCTTTCAACCCACTTCACCTGCAAGCTCTCACAGCAGGTTTGCAATTGTTGTATGACCAGTCTAGCAGATAAATTAGCCCTTTCAGTGCACTTCTGATGGAACCCGAGGAATCTGCTGAATCAGTCAGTTCGTAATCAACTTTATTATTAAACGATAAGATTCATTCATCTTTCTGTTGAACAATTTACCTGAAGGACTTTCATTTCCGCAGCAATCCCTTCATCATCTATCCGTCGCTCGTTCAGCAAATGTTGATACTTTGATTGCCACTCCGCTGCCTGCTTCTTAGCTGCTTCCAGTTTGGATGTCACAGTGTTGTGCCTCTCCTCAAGTGTAATGACCTTCTTCTGAAGGATGGCATGTTGAGTAGCAGTACTCTCTGAAGCCTTCTTGTAATCATTAATTGATAATTCGTAGCGCTTCTTCCATTCTTGAGCATTCTTCTGAGCAGCGTCTACTTGTTTATGCGTAAATGATACTTCTTCCTCCATAGACTTGATCTGTAACTGCAAAGCTGAGTATTCTGCGATGACTTTGCCGTTCTCCCGCTTGACGAGGTCTTGCAACGGCCCTGACAAACTATCGAAGTCGTAGTCAATTACGTTAACTAGATTAAATGTTTTCAAGTTATCCTCAATCGGAACAAGTACGGTCTACATGTCAATGAAATAAAAACTGCAAACATAATGGACACAAACAGTTTAAAGCTCATTATCAGAGACCGAGCCAATTAAACCGTGCAATTCTAAGTCAGATGAACCTTATTTACAATTATAAATTTATACCTTTTTTGAAGAAATTTGACAAGTTTGTGCCACTTGAAAGATCCCGTCGCCGTCACGTCATACTCAGCCACCATGCCATCGATCACCTGTGAACGGGATACGCAGGTCAGCAATATTTACAAGTGCCCGTAAACATTTGAACAACTCTGCAATAACGATGAACGGACTGCGTTTGTGGTCCAGACAGGAAGAGGCTATGCAAATCCAAGTAAAATGTAAATGAGAGAAAAGGTCATACCTTAACCACAGATTCAAAGGACGCGTTTGGTGCATGACATGCATTGCGCAGTCTTTCTTCCAAACTGCCTACAGCTCGCAAACATTTGAGCTCCGCCTCTAAGAATAATTTACGCTTGCAACTCTAAGTTCAATAACACTTATTACCAAATTAGTGACCATAACATCTTGCACAATTTGGAGTGTATGGAAGGCACACTAGTTCTCGACACACTTCCAATCTACCTCTCAGATATATATAGCTGTGTGTGTGTGTGTGAGGGGGGGGGGGGGGTATTGGACAAACCCTACTTACCTCAAATTGTTTCTTTACAGTGATGTAAAGCTCCTTCTCGTACTTCTTTCTTGATGCTCCCCCTCCCACAGCTTCAAGGTTGAACGTGTTTAGGGCTGCTTGAAGAGATTCGTCATGAGCCTCTTGCAACAAAGTCTGTCCCAATAATGAGAAATTATTTTTATTTAAACACAAAGAATTACCTTTTCCTTGACAAAAAGATGACTTAGTGAGAGAAGAAGTACCAAAAAGGGTTTTAAATTTGTACATGGCGACAAAGATCAAATGACGAGGCTACTATATTTATTAACCTCTAAAATTACTCAGCTGTACCTCTTCAGGAGGAGTCGATCTGTCAAAAGACTCGGTGTACGTTCTGATAGCGAGCTCATAGGCACGTCGACATGCGCTTTCTTCCACATTCTGAAAGTCAAAAAATTTACTCGTAAGAAAATGAACTTGCAGATAGATTAGCCATTACGGCACCTCGCAAAGGTTTATAACTTAGAAGGTTTGCTATATACGGATATATTGGGAGTAAGGTCAACCTGCCAAGAATTGGCTATAGTAGGTACAGCTCCAGAATTAATGGCGTCAAGAAACGATTGTGTGAGGCCAGCAAACATAGGACCAGTCAATATTATTGACCCCAGCCGCTTTGGCCCTGCCCTATCAAAAATATACTTTGTTAACTTATCCAACCCAGCCCGAAACTCGGGACGTAATTGATTCACCTAAAACACACACACACACACACACAGAACCAAATCATACACCATGGAAATCACTTGATTATTGATACATAACCATCCACAATGCAGGCACATGTACTACAGAAATTATATCTCTAGGAACATTTAACAGTAACGATTGAAGCTGAGGTTAATGGGACCATGGTGCCACTATGGAAGAAAATACAGACGATGAATGGACACGTGGGTTGATAATGACAATGTACACTCATACTCTCGTACCGGTATTTCGTCAAGGTGTTGCAATCGCTGCTCTGCCTCTAAGGGACGCACCAAAGTGAAGCAATCCCTTTCTGGAAACAATGCTTTAATAGAGTTTCGAATCTGAATTTCAGGTAGTAAAACCTAGAATCAGTTCGTATTTTATAAACCACCATATATGCAGATTTCTTGGAGCAATTTATTATCCACAATGAAAACGTTTGAAGCTTCTATTCACACATCACACAACTGACTGAATTAGGTTCATGGACCTCAATTGATAGGAAAGTAAAAAATGAAAACCTCGTTCTTGGAAGCAGCAGCTTTTCCAGATCCTGGAACTGGTTGGAGTGCCGACTCCAGATAATCTCTAGGAGTTATCCTGTGCCCATCGTCGCTAAGATCAAAATAGAAATCCTGGCATTCCCACAAACAGTTACATAATAGGCTATATGAGCCATGTGTGTAAGTGAAATCTTCGAAGACTACTTACAGGACGAGGTAAGTTTAAGAATGGCAAGTAACACATTTTCAAGGTCAAATAACCCTCACGGATGATTACTATTATACTCCAATATTGTTAGACCCTTTGAAGAACACAGCGATCTAATGTAGTAGAAACATGATCAGATAACATCATACCCGAAGTAGCCATACAAATAGTGGTGAAAACCGGCCAAGTTCATCTGCTGAGGTTGTATTCTGAGAGGCTCGCACTCGAATGTGCTTGGTCATTTCTGTAACTAAAGACAAATTGTCGAGTGCTGCTTCGTCAATACCAAACATCTGAAATGCAAAACAAGATTTAGTCTTTACCAACCAAGAATGAAATGTTCTCTTCAATATACTCAAACGCTCCTACTGCGCTGGATTCTTAACACCGCTAGTTTTGTTCAACTGAAAAATCTGTAACCGTAAATTGCCGCTGGGTTGGCAATTGAGTAGCAGCGTTTGAGCGATATGACCGAGGAGGAGCGAAAGTGCCGAGCAAAAGAGAAGTGTGTGTGTTAAAAGAAGTTTGGAAATTGTTAAACAGAAGAACTCATGCGCAAAGTACCTGATTGTACACGAACATACTCGACAAGAGAATAGCCAAGGAGAAGATCTGCGTGCTGTATTGACCCTGCACAATACACACGAAAGAGCGCAGATAAACTTCAGCGGATATTTGTGTCAATCACTTACATTTTATCACACATAAGGGCTTTCTCATGTACGAAGGTACAGCTGCCTAAACAACTGCAGAATGTTAGAAGCGCCAAGGCTCACAAACAACGTCTTGTAATATTCCTTGATGCCATACGCAGACGTCAATCACAAAGATAAGATTTTTCAAAGGATTAAACTTCCTACTTTGACACCCTTAGTTGTATGTAATTATGCATATATGCCAGAAAATAATTAGAGGCTTACAGTTTGATCGTAGGAATCAATGCCTTCACTATCCAGCAATATAAGATTGTATTCACTTCCATCTGCAGCTGTACGCTTAATAGGTGCACTCCACATCCAAAGTCCTTTCGTGCAAGGCTTCTGAGTAGCCGCAACTTCAAACCCATTGCTCTGTCCTAGCAGCTAAAGTCGTGGAGGATGTACAATTATCAGCTAGTATTCAACTAGAACAGGCTCCAGACTTTAGTTACATGATTATTGATACAACCTTACATCTCCAGCCAACACTAACCTGCTACATTACTTTCAAGGCACTTAGTGCTATTGGACGAATAGCAAAGTCATGAAAATATAGGCTCTTTCTCTCTTTCTCATTCCCTCAACAATAGCATCCAAGTTTTATGCTGATGAACAGAAAAATGTACAATGGATGTTTAAAAGTGTTGCAGTCACAAGCTGCAAGATATGTTTCGGATGCAATTCCACATCCTAAGAATGAAGCCTCAGAAATTAATATTTTTTGGAAGACCTAAAGAGCATCAAGTATGACAATATACTGACCCAAACTCTCGAGTGTGAAGGTTTCATGAAGCAAACCTGATTCAAGATGAAGCTTTTGCCTTGACGAGCACGTCCACATACAGAGACAGCACCAACAGGTCCCTTAACAAGCTGCAACGCTGCGACTGCTTCGGGATCCATTCGAAACTTGCCCCTTTCATCACAATATACAAGTCGAAGAGGTCTTGCGGACCACTTTCCAACACTGCTACGTCTGTTCGAGGATACTGGAGGAGGAGGGCTGTGCACAGCTGCGGAGGTCTCGGTCTCCATTCCTTCTATTACATGATTTGCTTCAGGTTTGTCCTCTGTGTGATGACCAAGCCCAAATATCTTCAACATCCTGTCGACCTAACAACTCTACCTCGTAAAGCACGTTAAGTTGCTGTCCAATAACTTAGCTAGTATGACCCGGAGCGCAATGGGCTACAGCTTCAATAATAAAGGTGCTGGAAGAATTCACCGAAAATTCCTTGCACCAACTTTGTAGTCACTCTGTTGAGCAATGCATATTTTCCCACCATCAGCAACATGAGCACGGTATCAAGAAAGCCAGCATACACAAGGCACTGCGAAAAGACTGCATTGCAAGTATAATGCTGAAGAAAAGTAGTCAATATCTATAGGTTGGAGTAATATTGCTTGGTGAGAGAAATGCAATTGAGAGTCGGACGCCAGCGCTTCTGTGTGAAAAGGTTCGAAGCACAAGGTTACAGCCTCCACGAAGGAAATCCAAGCAACCTACAGCTTCACATGCTAAAACAGTAAACTAACCTGTGGACATGCACCTACTCAAAATATTCGGCCTGTAACCGAGCTCACGTCTGGAACATGCAATACGAACTGTACATTCCAACAAAGAATTAAACTGGCATTCGTCAGTTCTGAGACCACAAAGATTTTTTCCCACTTAAGAATACCGTCCCTTAACACGTACTGTAGGAGCTGCAGCTAAGGCGAGCCGTCTGTAATCAAAGAAATCGCAGCGACGCAAACGCGTACAATCTGGCTAATCATTGCTTGTGAGGTTGGAGAAACTATTACTTCGCAATTACGATATTTGCACTAATTCGCCTTCAAGGCCGCGCATCATGAACTTAGGAAACGTACAAAGACTTCTGTGTCCCATTGAACGGAGAATGCCAATAACTGGAAGTGGCTAAGTTTATCACAATTCACAAGAGTGCGAGGGAGTCTGTCTCCACACTCAAACAAACATCGAAAAGATGACCTTCCTCATCGATTTCCAAACACAACTAAGAAATTACACAACAGCTGAAGAAATCAACAACCATATAGCCCTTCGCTGAAAGGTATCACGAACCCCAGATGCACACCGAAAGGTCAACAGAATCAATCAGGCAGAACAGGAATGGAAAAATTGCTAAAATTATGATTTGGATCCATACCATAACCTCCGCACAAGTCACTAAAGTGTAGAAAAAACAAAACAAAAACAAAACAAAAACACCAAGCCAAACAACTACTTCAATTAATCCCAAACTCACTCAACCCTCCAACTCAGAACGCAACCCCTGGTGCAAGCGTAAACCTCCCACTCCCGAATCAATGCACACGCAATCAATCGCTTCAACAACAAACCACGACCAAATGAACCTAAAACCTCCCCTCATTTCCGACCAACTATCCCCCTTATCTCACCTCAGAAACACGAAACTCCCGTTTCAAACACTCAATTCCCTAAACCGGGCGACAAACTCCAGCCAAGGCTCAGAGAACACACTCACTCCGATCCGAGATTCGCTTCGCCGATTCTACACGGATGCGGCACCAAACCGGATCAGAATGTCAAGCACACCGTGGGCTATCTACACATTCGGCTCGTCATAGAAGCAAAGCAGTGGCAATCCGAGGGAATTGCGATTAGCAGCAGCCACGAGTCGTCTGGGAAGTAAATGAAATGGCTGTCAAGCAAAGACCAAAAAAGACGACGACGAGGGCAGCAGCTTGACGACAACGATGAGCAGAGTGAGAGCATTCCGAAACGCGAGGCTCACCCTCGGAATTTTAAACCCTGCCCGGTGCCTCCGCCCCGACCCGGCCCAGACCCGGCTCCGACCCGGCCTCCACGTGTCCCTGTTCACACCGGCACCTTTCATATGGGTGTATTCCAGCATGGCACTGACTATTAGGAACGGTTAATGTCTGATGACATGTGGATTCACCGCGGGGGCCCACATCTCCTTTTGCTTCGTTGCTTGGGCCCTTCTCAAGCTTTATTAGCTTAATTAGCTTCAATAAAGCTACAAGCCCACTGTCTTACTCAGCACCCAAATCCATGAAGAATGGGGAGTGTTAGAATGAGTCTTCTCCTAGTCTCATTGCTCTAGTTCTTACTATAATAGTAACCATGGGAGGTGGGCCTTGTGTGGTGCCAAATTGAGTTTGTGTGTGAGTATTAGGTCTTTTGTTGTTTCCATAGGGTTTTGACATGTTCCAATTGCGGAACTAGGGGAAGCATTTTGGAGGAGTGTGGTGGGTGTAGCTAGAAAGGAGTCACAAGATCCTTGCTCGTCGTCCGTCCCCACCGCCCAATAATCTCCTCAACCCTAATGCTACCCCCTCCCCCCTTCATTCCAAATTTGGTTTATTGACATGCCTTGCATGAGTGTGTTGTAGTTATGTTGACTGGAATTATTTGTGGGGTGGAATTTCCTTTTATGGGTGCTTCTTAGGGTTTAGGGTGATGGATAGGAGACATGATTCTCCGTGTTTCTAAAATTGGGGAAATATCTCGCTTTATTTCATTTTATACTTTGGAAATTATATCATTTTTTTTTTATGTGCTTGAAATGAGTATTGTGTGTGGAATGGGTTGTGGGTTTGGTTGATTGTGGGTATTTATTGCTCCATGTGTTTTTCTTGCTTGATAAGTTGAGTTGACTTTGTAATTTAGTTGATGGTTGATGTGAAATTCAATTATAATTGGTGTCTTTTTACAGCTAATTAGTGGATAATGTTAGTGGACATGTATTCAATTGTGTTTTCACATGTGAATTAGAAGGAAATTCACACTATTGAATGTAAAATTTGCACTGGCTTACATCATTGGCAACTAACAATTCTAAATTATATAATTCCGTTTTTGTGGGTCATGGGACAATAATAATACAAAAGATGGATTTAAATTACTCTTTGGGTGTCAAGAATGTTTTTTTTTTAAAAAAATTATAATAACATTATGTATCATCAAGTATGTTGTATTTTATTTTTGATGATTCTATTTTGTTTATTCACTTTGATTGAGATGGGAGCACAAAAACTACACTTGTTTGTATTCCAGAAAAAATTTTAAAAAATGCATATTTTATTAACACTCTAATATTTTCCAAAGAGTTCATAAGAGTTAATAAAATTCGAGTTCTAATATTTATCATTCATGTTTAATAACATATTATAATTTTAAGTTTTGCTTTAATGATTGCTAGAAATTTATGCTGGTATATATTTATCTTTCAATGTGTGAGTGTTCTGAATATTCGAATTAGTTCAATTTTTTAGTCTAAGATGATATTAAAATTTGGAAACATTCTAATTTTTTTCCCATAGAGTTCTATTGAAAACTAAAGAGTGAAAAAAACATTAATCAATGAGGATATCTGCAGTAAAAAGAAAACAATGTTAGTATGTAATACTATGTAAACAACACCCAAATTAAGTTTTTGGATTACATAAATATATCAACATTCCAAAATAGTATTGAGAAAAACATATCTGATATCAATTTGAAATATTGAAAATCTTAAATACAAATAAAACAATGTCTTCAGTAGTATTATGAACCCTCTTTTATTATTTATTAATTTGAGACTTTCATTGAATAGGTATAAACTAAAAGTACAGAAAATAGATTATTAGTTCCAGTGATTGAATAACTGTAATACATATTTCCCAAAAAATATATGTAAATTCAAACTTGCACCTTCTGAGTTCCATTTTAAATTCTTCTTTTTTATTTTTCCTGTGAAGTTTATTCAGAAGATTATTTCCATTTCCAGCAATTCTGACATTAAGACATCATAATTCTGAAAACATCATAATTCACAATATAATATTATGAATAAAATCTACAATGTTTGAACGAATAAAAACCTCAGTGAATGAGCAAGCCACGAGCTATTATCTATTTCATCCCGCCAGACATGATTTGGACATAACATTAAACTCAGAGTTAAAGGATCAAAAGAACACAATCCAACTCTACCCAATCAAATATATTTGATTGATTAATTGGGATTTTTTTATTTTTATTTTTATTTTTTGACAAAAAGAAAATCAAAACATTTATGCTTCCGAAGTGTCAAAACATCCATCTTTAGAGAATCGTGAAGATGTGATGCACTTACTTCCACACGGTATTCGGGTCCCCTCATTAAGTACACCTGCCACGTAAGCAGTGTCCTTATGTGCTTTCCTTAAAGGCGCGTGAGAGGATATGCGGACCTTTCCCATTGCTATGTTTTAATATATATTTTTTCCAAAATTCCAAATGAATTCTTAATTTCTTACTACATATAAAAACTTTTTTTTTCATATATTAATATTTGATATATCTTAAATGTTGACTATATATACTATTCATGTATATATATTTATATATATATATATATAACACATTGACTATGTATACACTATTTGTAGTTACACCTAAATAAGCATATGATAGATACTTTCTTACAAAGAGGTGCCATTCTAAGAAAACTTGAAGTTTCAAAATGACACTTATATCAAATTTCACTTAATCTTAGCAAAACTTTACCAAGTTACATAATAATGATATAGAAGCATTGAAAGTATTAGAAATAAATATATATATGATTGAAGTTTAATAAAGGACATACATTTCTATGTGAAGTGACTTACAGAGTTTGATTCTGCATATTAATGATTGTTTGATTGTGTTTCTTTTAGCATAGGTTTATTTATTTTTATGTTTATACATACATAAAAACAAAGGAAGAGTAAGACTTGGTACGAGGAAGTATTGTGCCAAAACAATAGTGGACAAGAGTTGGTACAATAAACACCACCTTAATCTTATCTTTGAATATATTTAAAATTACGATAATTGTTATGAGAGGCATGCTTGGGTTGGGAGCAACCATGTACATCATCTATTATTAGACAACTAGTTAGTTTATATATATATATATATATATAAATAAAAATTAAAAGATCTAAGCATTTACTAAATCAACTCACCTATCTTAACCATCATTAACAAATTCTCTACTGTTGAATCCATATTGGTTGAAAATCAATGAAAAAATGGTTGGATTTGTAGCTAATGATAATAGATGGGTTGATTTAGTAAATACATGGGTCAATTTAACAATTCCCTATATATATAATAATTATTTTTTTTCATCAAACTTATTGTGGAAAGTAATAATTTCTTAAAATAAAATGTATATAGTCTAAAATGTTATGATTGTGGAACTTCTATATTCAAATATGTGTAATACTCAAGTATAAGTGTACCAATAGATTATTTATTTTGACATCATTCTAAAATTAGATTAAAAATTAATAAGTTATTCAAATCTTCAAAAACATAAAACATATATTTTAGAATCATATGATTAATTATACTTGTGAATACTATATAAACAATAATATGAAGTCAAACTAAATATAAAGAATGAAACAAAAAGAGGACACTACTATAAATGTAGGAAAGTTCCATGTTATATTATGCAATATTTATCCACCCAAATAGATTAAAATCTTAATTATAATTAATTCACATGTTAATTTTTGGTAAATACTTTTAATTGAAACTACTACTTGACATCAACTATATAATAGATATTTTAAAATTAGTCCACTTTTAATATAAGTAATAATAAATTAATATAGATAATGTATATATAATTCATTATTGTGTAGATTATAACTTTGTAAAGTAGTCATAATAATATTTATAATTTTATTAATATGAGCTTTGAAAAAATTGAACAAAAAATGATCAATAGAAAAATTATAATAAAGACTTAAGTCCATATAATAAAACAATTGTACAACAATAAAATATGTAACAAAAAAATGAAACAAAAACAAAAATTATAATATGAAAAAAATATTCATTAGAATTTTGAAGTTTTATTTTTTGGAGAATTTGTACATAAATGGTTTAATTTTTAGGAATTCATGCATGAATGCCATCCAAAAAAATAAATTCCACAATGGCATTTAATATTATTCATGAATTCATATCTTGTTTTTAACATTAGAATTGTAAAAGTGTGGTATTAAGTATAATCTTATTCAATTGGTATAGATGTTAAATATATCTACAAATTTGCAATAATCTATAGTAGAAGCACTTAATGAATGAATGTACAAATTCTTTAACACAAACTCATCAATTTAATGATTATTTGCCATGATTTGTGTTTGTGTTTTTTTATTAGTTGAAGGTACAGATGATGACTTTATCCATTTACTTATTTACCTGGTTTTTAATCATTTAGTTTACATAACAAGGAAGTTTGAAATATTGCACATATATTTATAAATTCAAGGATAATAATTCTTTATAGTGTGCTATAACATAATCCAAATGTTGTAAAATATTTTATCAACATGAAATCATAAAATATAATGCAAAAAATATTATTTACAAATATTTTAAATAGAATGTAAAGGTTTTGTTTTTTTTTTCCTTTGTATAATGTAATAAATACAACTTTGTTGCAAAAACCCATGAAAATTGGGTTTGAATGCGTATTTCAAATCTAACAAGCACAACAACAACAAAAGTCACCAAGTACCCTGATCACCACTTTTTAGGGTTTCAACCTGTTGCCGTATCTTGGAATCTGAGAACAATGTGGAGCCCGCATCTCTTTGGTCTCTTCAACCCTAATTCATGGGGTCGTTGAATTAGGGTTTCGGAGCGAAAGGGTATGTCACGTGATAGTTTTTCATGTATGGACGGAAGTTTTAGGGTTTCGCTTTGCTGGCTGCTCGCGTGCATTCATCTCCTACTTATTGCTCACAGTGCCTCTCCATCCCACAATTACCCTTCAATCCCATCCCTCGTAGTTCACTGTGGGTCTAAGAGGTGGCTAGAAGTTCAATGGGAATGTGCTGTTACCTATGTTGTTTTGCTTAGTTTTCGACCACCATCACGTTGTGGCGAGTTGTGTTCGGTTTGATGGGTGTTGTGAGTGAAGGATTTAGGTTTTAGCTGTTATGCCCATGATGGTTACCTCTATGGGCGTTAGCTGTGGGTGGTGCTGGGACCTTGTTTGACAAGGAGAACCTCCTCAGCATTCCACCTGCATTTCTGTGACGCTACAATGTAAACTGAGGCTTTCTAGTGGATGCTACAACGTCTCAAGGTTGGTATGCTTGTGTTTGAACATGGCTCTTCTCTGGTTGTAATAGAGCCGCTGATGAAGAAAATACCCAAATTTCTGACTTCTGTGATGAGCATTGAATCACCATCTTTCGACTGAGGCTTGATTTGTGGGGAGGAGTGTGGAGGAAGGCTGGATGAAGTTAGAATACATAGACCTGTCCTGAACTACATGTTGAATAAACATGCACTACCAACTGACAGCTTTCTGGAGAGGATGTTGTTAGGACTCACGGGTTTGAGTAACTGGAATGACGGGAATTGTATCCTTGGCGCGGTGCAATTCTAGCATCTCGGGGTGGCCATTGCATTCATGTGATGCACTTGTGGCCGCAGAATCCTTTGCTAACGTCGTAGATCAACTTTTTTCACGTGACGTTTCCTCTGCGCATTCCTGTGTGGAGGATTCATCTGTGGAATCGAGGTCGCATATTCCATTGTCCTAGGGAGCAGCGTTGCTGCAATTACTCTTTGGGACAGACCATGCAATCTACAGAGACTCATTAGATGGTTTCACTTATTGAAGCCGTTAGTGATTACCACCATTTAGAATACTATCTTTCGGATTGTTGTCACCTTCGGGTGGCAACGACACTGCAAAGAATGACGGCGTCAATGACAAGAGGGGTGAGATCAAGATTGTCTGTCTCACCCCTCTATGTTTGATGGAACATAGAGGGGTGAGATCAAGATGCAAAAACTGAGGTCACTGATGGCGATCATGAGCTGATCTCGCGTCAGTTGCAGATAAAGTGAACGCATTATTTTTAGGTGGTAAGCCACTCTATGTTTGATGGAAATAGGTTCATTACGTGGTGCAAGATTTTCCACTGTCGAGGCCACCGACGTTGAATGGTTGGACAAGTGTTTCTATTCCGCTTTCATGATTCCAAGGAATTGAGATCTGAAGCTGTTATATCCGAGATTATGGATTAACACACATGTACTGTCTGTAGCTTTTCACGAGCATGCCAGCTCGGTGCTTCGTCCAGACGCTGCAGCTGCGCTCTGCGTAAATTCACTGAAGGAGATCGTGATGTGTCTCTAAACATGCGGCGCACCTGCCAACGAAATCTTCTCCCTGGCGTAGCACCCTCATCAAAGGAGCCCTTCTCAAACACCTACTCCTTCAATTACCTCTTCTTCTATAACCTAGAAGCATGAGAGTGCTGAGTGCACCCAACTTTATATTTACTTGTAAAATGTACCGTACCTGCAGCATGTCATGAAAATAGACAAAACGTGATACTTGGCATTGTGCCATGCAGTGAAAAACAACAAAGTCTAAGTTAGAGCAGAATCAGTCCACGCATCAGCACGAGAAATCATGATCTAAAGAAAAGGGTGGAAATGAAGAAAACATTGTAACACCACCGCAGAATTGCTCAGATATGGTAGTCTAACTTCATATAGGCAGTAAGCCTAATCCAATCCTAAGACCTGGTGAAATAGGCCAAGTCAAAGCCACTGTATTGGTGTAAATCTCATTTGCATTAATATATAATGAAGCATGCCCAATCTGCAGTCATTTACAACACCCATATCCTCTATCAAAAAACACGACTTGGATGTCTGCAGTGTTCACTTCAATTGAACTTGAAACGGTCTCTTTAATCATGATGGAATATGCGTGATACACTCGCATGCGGGGTCCACGCTACAGTGACAAAGGTTTAGTGCATATCACTGGTCCACATTGAATTGGTTGGATGCCTTGAGGGCTTAAAATATTAACCAAAATCGGTTATTGACAATTGTTGAGGAGGGATTGTTTTTATGCACGTGGATATAATCGTAAGGGTATAATAACAGATGTTGAGTGTTCAATATCATTTTATAATATCATGTACAACTTTCTTCTCAATGTTTCTGAAATTCCGTAAGATCCATAGAGTTGGTATGTGAATTTTATTGTATCTCTTAGAACGTTATTGAGTCCAATGTGTTTTAGACTTTTGTAGAATTTCAAGTATATATGATATAAATGTGATTAAAATTTTACTATATTTTAACCTTGTTAATTTGTGTTGTGATATTACAACATACATGATTTTTGATTTGATTTTCATTTGTATAATTATTACTCATGTATAAATTGTATTAATGAAAATAAATAATTATAATATTTATTTGGTGATTTTGTATATTGAGAATAGAATACAATATTTCTTGTCGATATGGTTTCAAGATTTTTTTAATACATCATAGTTCATGTTTTTTTAAATTATAATGTTTAAAGATTGTAATAAATTTATTTGAAGCTAAGACTAATAAGCCTCACCAAGCTTTTCTACTTGATAATAATAATAATAATAAAAAAAAAAGAAACATTCCTTGAAAGTCTTGGTTTTTGGAGATAGTACAAAGTGAGAAAAAGCTATGAAAATGAATTGAACAGTTTTTTGTTGTTTTTATTACAAGTTTCAACATATCAATTCAAGTATTGATTCTAACAATCATGAAAAATATAAAATGATGATTTTTTTTCAATGGATGTACTGTAATGTGTATATTTGTGAGTAAATGTGTGTGTATGTGTGTGTGTGTTTAATTAATTTTTTTAATCTTAAACCATTTCATAGATTGGAATTAATATACATTCTAAGTATTTGAATTTTAAATCTTATTTGTAGGACTAAAAATATAACTTGATTAATGGCTATATAGTAGTATTCATGCTTTTTAAAAATTTTGCTATAAATGATTTAGAATGTATATCCACTATTAAAATTTAAGAATTTTAAAAAATAATAAATTTACCATGACAAACTGTAAATAAAAACACACAACTTTACTTATTTGTAAATATATATTTATACTAATTTGTCATTTTTAGAACGCCAATGTCTATTCTTTGACCTTTTATTTTACATTCTTATATATTATAAAACTTACATAAGATGTTGGGTAATACAAACAACAAAAAAAGGAAAAGGTCATTTCAAAAATGTGAATATTTTTTTCGACAGAATGCCACAACTAAAGTTTGAGTATTTGTCAAAACTTTGACCAACAATTAAGGAATATTTGTTTATATGTTTTTTTTAATTATTCATAATATCAGTTAGAAATATTGCATACATGTAAACTTCTAACCAAATAACGTATTTACAACAACTAAAGCAAAATTAAACTTTTTAATTTGATTGCAAGACCTCAGAAGCTAGAGACAGCATTTTATGAATACTTGAGCTTATCCATTCACAGATATCAAGAGAGGCTTGACACATTGAAGATCAAGAGCAGCGTGTGGAAAGAATTCAAAGGGATAATCCTTGGCAGTAGAACAATGTCTAAATGATTATTGTTGTTGCAGATCCATTTAGAGATGTTTGTTGGAATCGCTACATCCTGTGGAGTGCAACCCTTCGTTAGGTGTCCAGGCTTTCAGTACATGTAACATTTTTGCCGACTCTTTCTGATGTCCCTTTCTGGTGCGGCTGCTGCATAGACTAGTGGCAGTACTGGATATGAAGCAGCAATTTGCCTGCAAAGAACAGATCTACAAGGACGAACTTTGTTTCGTCAAATTTCATTCCACGCACGAACACTGCCCGCTCCTACAATGCAACATGTATTCGACAGGGAATTACAAAATATTAGAGAAGAATGAAAATTCTTGAACTCCTTAGAAATGCTGCAGGAACACATTAGCAGGCGAGTGTAACCACCTGCAATTGTAACTAACACGGAAATGTATCGAATAGTCCCGTCATTGCTTAGGATATTAAACCGTGGGCCAGGCGAGCCTGCAATCAAGCAATCACGAGCAAGATGTTCGGGTGGTGTGCAGCTTTATTACAGTCGAAAGGCACACTCATAAAAAAACAAATTTCTGTAACATTCCAGATGCCACACAGGAATCAGCAAAGAATTCAAGAACTGAGGTTGAGTGCAAAAATAATGCACTACTTTTGAAATCTACACTTTAATACCGAAGCAAGCGCACTGCAAAACAAAAGAATTAAAAAACAAGAAAAAAACTAAAAAAGAGCGAGATCGCATAGAATTCTCATGAAGCTCTTCACAGACCTGCGGCAGCTACGATGCTCTAAACCGTAAAGGGAAGCGCACAATCCTTGATCTAATTACAAATCATGGAACGCGGGCCTTGCAGACATACACACACAGTGCAAGGACTCCTACAACACGCAATCGAGCTCAATTGACGGTGAAAAACGACGGTCGCCTAGAAACGAATGAAAAAAACTTTCGAAATCGTGGATGATATTGTTCCTATTCTCGGATGCCAATGATTGATGCCTTGAAGAAGGATGAATGAAAATCGAAGAGGCCGTGGACGAACGAAGAGATGCGTTCGTCGGGACAAGGCTAGTAGTGCATCATGACAGAGAAAGTCCGACGATTTTTTTTCGTCGACGTTGTTCGTTCATCTCCGTCCAGCGATATGGTACACACAGTTTTGAAGAAGAGGGTTGGAAGCCGACGATGTCGGGGATGCGGAACGCGAGGCCCTGGTTGCATATTTGAATTATTTTTCGAGGCAGAAATTGTCCACATTTGTCGAGATCATTTGACCTTTCTTCCCCGTGGTTTTGTAAATACTTTCGAGCCCTGTGGTTACGAAGGAGTGGCTCACAGTTTGAAGTAGCTGAACTGAAGCTTTGTCGTTGCCTCGGTGCTTGTGCTCTCGCGGTTATTGTAGGGCCCTTGCTTGCTTTTTAGCGTTCCGGAGTAAGTTTTTAACATTTGTTTTAGTCTCGTGGTGCAGCTGTCAAGAGACTGAGATCGCAAGGTGTCCTTTTCCCACTTCACTCAGTCGGGACTCGCGATAGTTGGCTTTTTAATGAGGATTGTAGTCGGGGAGGTTGCCGAAGAGTTTGCGGTCCACCGGTTTGAAGTCGGAGGGAGGGGTGGTGGAATATTGGAGCGGTGTTGTCTTGCGTGGCAAGGTGGTGTTGAAACAGAGCAGATCGATTGTGTTCGACAGGGGAGAAAGATCTAAGTTGTGTTTTTTCGTGAAAGGTTAGTCATGAGTCGATTATGTTGTTGCTTCGGACGGAGCAAAGTTAATGATGGAGCTGAAAACGTGACGAAATCTAGTAGTACCAATGGTACGAAGGAGGGGAAACTGAAAGAAGATGCGAAGAGGGAGAAGCAAAATCAAAGTTTGGTTTTAGTAGAGTATTTCACTTCACAAGGGTGCAAGTCATGTCCATCGGCGGATCTGGAATTTGCGAAGCTCGGGCAAGGGCTAGCTCAAGATGCAACCGGAGGCGTTCCTATTATAGCTCTAGCCTATCATGTTGATTATTGGAATCATCTTGGCTGGCGAGATCCATTTTCCAGTGCTTCTTGGACTTTGAGGCAGAAAGCATACGGGGAGAAGATGCAACAAGATTCTATCTCCACCCCTGGAATTATCGTTCAAGGGTGTGCGCACGCTGAAGGTGATAAAATGGAAAGTGTCACGGGCTTGATAAAAGCTGCACAGAGGTTTCCGGGTCCTGATGTACTGGTATGTTTCGTCTCATGGCCCTCGTCGTAGTTCCGCATGCTAAGATTAAGTGTCTCGTCTTTCAGGATGCCCCAACAATGTCATGCATCTAATAGAACTATTTCGCAACAGTAAGCGCGCTTGAGGTGTAGCGAGCTTGCCGATCCGCTAATTTCGCTCATGATTTCTTCTTAAAAACTGGTTGCAGTTAACATGATTATCGGAAGATCTTAAAAGTCTTAGCCATATTTCGGTCGTGCTAGTCGCATGTTACTTTCCTCCCTTATGATTTTCATTTTATGTAATTTTACAAGTTCTAAGGTGGGGAGCTCTGTCTTCCTCAAGGATTGGTTGGATGTACGTTTGTTGTGAGTACGAACAAAGTGCATACGTCAATATCACTGAAATGTTTTCTTGTACTTCTGCATCTTTCTTCGTTTTCTTATTCTTGAATTGTTTTTTCCCTTTTTTTAATTTCACCCATCTCATCTTCATTTGCCTCAAATGTGATTCTACTCCAATATGGGGTAACGAAGTTAAATCGTCTTGATTCCATTTTTACGTTGCCCTTGTTTATTAGTAGTCGTCCTGTGTGTTATGCAGGAAGCCAGTTATGAACTCCCATTTCGATCAACATTGCGAGTTTCTCTTACTTTGGCTTACAAGAAGCGCGTAGAAAAGCAAGCGTTGGATGTTATGGTAGCCATTTATCAAAATGGACAGGTTACTGAATGTTCAGCAGGAGGCAATAGAGGGAAATTTCTTTCAAACGAGTTTGTGGTAAGAGGCTTGGAGAAGGCTTGTTCGCTTCATGATTGGCCAGCGAAGAAGGCTATTACTGGACAAGTTCAATTCGGGCTGTGGGACGGTTTCATTCGGGCCAAGTGTGGCCTTGTTGTATTTCTTCAGGATCCAAGTACGTTGGAGATACGGGGTGCTGAGCGTGTGGAACTACCTGAATCTATTGACAGCATGGAGCCGAAGGAAGAAGGTGAAGAAAGCTTCTCCGATGCCTTGTTCACATAAAACACTTGTGATGCGGCAGCATTTACTTGTTCATTCACAAGGGCAATGCCAAGCACCTCAATCAGATACGACCAGAGTCAAAGATGAGTTGCAGTTTCGAGAGCTCACGAATGTCGCGGAGTTGAAGACAACCCTCCTGTTGAGTATTTTTCTTTTATGGTCGATGGAGAGCACATTCCATATCTTGAGAGACCGTAACGCAGAATTGTTTGGAGAAGTTACATGCTGCTGGGAACTGGACAAAAACAAGTTGGGGAGTGCCGAGTGCTCCCTGGTCGAGTTGCTTTGCGACGTAAGCAGTCATTTTTGCCACGCATGTGTTTAGACATGCGTGGGAATGACTTTGCTAGAATCAGCTTCAGGTATTAACTGGACAGTTTTTTAAAAGTTTTCTTGGTTGAATCGAAATAATTTTGCATTGATGTATAGTGACATTTTCTAGGATTCAATGCGGATACCATGGTTTCTTGGCGACATATCTTCGTCGGCAAATAGCACTTTGTGTGATAAAATTTCACTTGATTATGAACCACGTTATATTTGTATTCCACTTCAAATCTTTTCCCAAAATATAAAACGTACATAAGGCGGTAACGCTGATCCATTTTGTATGCCGTGGATTTGTAGAGTTCAACGTTACTGTAATGAACAGTGAGATCAGAGGTTAGACGTTGTGTATGTATAGAGTTACTACCCAAACCTTATGTGACTTGGGTTTGTAATTTGTTATCGGAACCAATTATTACAGATCAGTGGTGGGGAGATGAGAGAACAGCCTGTTCAAGCACCATTAAAGTCCTTATTCCAATGTTATTACTTAAATAATACCCACATACTAGCTGTAGTCTACGGGCAGCTAAACCTCTCAAGGATTGGACGACATCAATGAAGATGATTCCGATCATTCGAGGATCCGCGAGTTTAATCCCTGGCATGTCCCCTCAAGTTGACTCAGTTGATATCATTGAATGTCAAGAATCTCTTTCACGGTACTTCCCTTTAGATTGCAATTGAAGCAACCTTCCCCATCCGTACTAGGGATGTGTTGAAGAAATGTCTAAAAGCTTAAATCTAAGTAAACCTCCAGTGACTTACGTGGCAGTATCTTCTGGGCAGCTGAGAGTTCCATCCCACAGATAAGCCCTTATCGAAATTGTTAGACCTTCACTGTATTAAAATGTGTAAGAATGGCAATAAACACATGCTGTTGCAGAATCTCTCCAATGAGAGATTTTGTTCCAGATCCGACATAGCAACCCTTTTCGGCTGTAACAAACAGGGAGGTAGGTACTTCAACGACACCCATCAGGTTGAGCTGCCCCTGACAATCCTCGCCTTAATCGCCATGCAATCTCATTTTAGTAAGAATTCTAATTTGCATTTTATAAGCAATGTGTGAGCCATTCCACGAGGACTAGCCTATGATGAAGAGAAGTGCAGAACCCATAGACCAACTTTCACGCAGGGGCCACAATTCTTGAGCCCAACATCAGTAACGAGGAATTGGTAGTCAGCTTGGTGTTTTTCGAAGGAAAGCCTCAATCATCGCGAATATGGAGTTGGTGGATTGACGTGTCTGGGTCCCCGCAATATTTGACACCATTTTCCAGCTGCTGAACTAATTAATACACTACCCTTCATGGATAATTTGCGGGTCCTTATAAAACGTGAAATGTCGGAGCTGCGCGAATCCGTTCGAAGCACGTAAAATTACAACATGAACTCAATAGGGTCCATTGGGTTTAGCATCTACTTGGTTAAGTAACCCTGAACTGTTTAGCATATCCTTTCTGAACTCTGACAATCACTAAATTGGGTATATTAAGAGAATGGATGATCTGATTAGGATTGGAATCCTAAAAAAAATTCTTCACTGAACTTCCTTCTCAGCAAACCTCTCACGCGCCATTTCCTCTGAGTTACTCCGTCCTCCCAGCATATGGCTCATCTTTTACTAGGAAACGCAATACATAAAGTAACAAAGCCGTGCTTTCGTCTTCACCACATCTCCAAACCAGCGATTCAAACCGAAAAACCTAATTGAGGTTACGAACTGATTATTACCACTTGACTACCTCCAATTGTAGCCTACCAATCATGTTCGTTCCTTTTCTTGTTCGATTGTCGCATCCAAGGCGCTCAATGTGGAAGTAGGTTCTCTCCATCCATGCCCGCATTATTATTCAATAGTAGATGAGGGAACCAACTATCACTAAACTTCTTAAACCCCCTTGAGACTAAGCTACTTATCACGAAGCAGTCTCTCACAAATCACGTTACTGCCGATTAAAATGATCAAACCGATGTGTACACGCAAAACGAGTGGCATGCCACAATTGACCACTGAAGAGGGGAAGGCGTATGTTTTGTCATGAGCGCACGCACTGAGAGAAATAGAATAGAGAAACGAAAGGATGATAAAACAATTGCACAGATTGGTGTATACTCACACACCAAACCTGTGAGGGTCACCGGTATATATATCCGACCAAGTCATGATCTAGATGGGACATTAATCCTTGAATCTAGGATCTCATAGTCTCACTTAGATGAATCTCTGTGTGTGATGTGACACATAGAGGATGTTCTAACACTCTCCTTTGCTACGGAATCATCTACAATCAGAAAAAAAACATTCTACCCTAATTTAACACCTTTGCTATGTCTTGCTGCATCCTATGACAAAGGTGCTTATTTACAATGGATTACATAGATTTTCTAGTGGACATTCTTTTGTTTGTTTTATTGAGTGCGTTTCCCAAGTCTTCAAATCTTTCTTTGTATGATGTTCTTAGTTGATTGATAATCTCAAAGCCCTTGCTTATAATCTTAAGGATTGGTTTTGTAGACCATGAGGCCAAAGTTTGTTTTGCTTTGAGGGTGGAAGTGAAACCCCTAGTTGATGTTACAAGTGATAGAGATGAAGTTTCTTCAAAATTAAGGTTCTAAGAGTCTTGCCTTATCACTAGAGGTGATGTATTGTATTTGACTTCAAAGGATAAAGCCATGGTTATTAGTTGTGGCTATTTCAAAATTCATTGTTTTGGAACTAAAATGTGAAGCTTTGAATATAATGGAGATTCCCGCACTTGTGCTCAAATAATTTGTACAGGGCATAATTTGAGAGAGGAGATAAAGCAACTACCAAGAAGAATCTATTAGTTGGGATATAGCGAAAGATTTTTTTCTTCTAATTTGATGTCAGTTGCCGCTGAATTCACTTAGAAAATTGAGAAAGTTGACAATGCTCTGACTAAAATTGAAGTGGAAATTCAAGAGGTGGTAAAGGATTTTGTATTGAAAGAAGCCATTGTATAAGAGCTTGTTGAGGATCTTTGATTGACAGCTTCATACTTGCTAAATTTTTCCACTGATTTCCTTCATGACGTGATAATTCCAAGATTGCTTCAAAATCCTAGTGTAAGTGATGATGTATGTTGGTTGCTTCATTCAATAAGGCTGATTTTTAATTTATTGGATAGTTGTTTGATAGAGACTGATATATATGATGTGAAAAGAAATAGAGATAAGAATAATATTTGTAGTAGTATGTCAATTGAGTGGAATTTGATGATAGAGGCTTACCTTCATGATCAAAAGAAAATGGAGCTAAATTGTAAGATAGCTTCTTAATTAATTTTTGGCTTCTTTGATAGAAATGATATTCAATCTAGTTCTAATTTTTAAAAATAATCCATGCCCAAAGGATTTGATAAATATGTTGGCTACTTGCTCTAATGATGGCATATAAATTAATCTTGTTTCTTCTATTTCAATTCTTTCTTTGATAAAGTGATAATAAGTTACTATATATTTTGTACGTAGATTGATATTAGGATTTGTTGCTATTTTGATACTTCTTTCATCATCACAATAGATAGAGATTGGTTTTGGCATTTTTAGTCTAAAATCATTTGTGAATTTCTTGAGTCAGACCGATTCTCTTATTATTATAGAAAATTCCATATATTCAACTTTTGAAGAGAAAAAAGTTATTGTTGGTTGTTTCTTGGAGAGCCAAGTTATTGGACTTGTTCCTAGCTCAAATATAAAACTAATTATTGATCGTCCATTAGTTAAGTCTCTAATCCATTCTATATCTATATAGTCTGAAATGATTATTGGTGATTTTGTAGTATAAAAAATGCTGTAATCTAATAAGCTTGCAATATATCATAAAATATATTTTTCTACCATTAAATAAAATATTTGTGGTTTCATCATGGACCTACTTATAATTTCAATAGAATAAGAAACGTCTAATTATGAATGAACAACTTCGATAAGTTTTTCAACTATGGATCTATAAAAGGTAGGATCAACAATGTCTTCTTGTATATTTGGTGTAAGTTTAAGTTGTTCAACCATTAGAGTAATCATAGGTTGACATCTTTCTAAGCTAAAATGTTTTATTACTTAAAGAGTATAACTTTGTTGTATCATGAATAGACCTTGAGGTACTTCAATGATTTTGGCTTTGAGATAGAATGTGAGGTCACTTTTTTCCTAATTTTGACATTTCAAATTTTGATTCTAATTGTGACTTAAACCATGTGATCTATTTGATGTAGTTTCTAGTAAAGAATAAGTCATCAACATAAAAATTTAGATGGAGACTTCTTTTCTCATGATGTATAATATAAAGGTTATAATTTTTTTTTTTTTTTTTTTTTTTTTTTTTTGTAAATCCTTAGTGACATAAGAAAGAATCAATCTTATTATACCATGCTTTGGATGCTTATCTTAGACCATAGATAGCTTTATGAAGTTGACATACTAGATATTTATATTTAGATTTTATAAATCCTTGAGGTTGTGTGATATAATTTTTTGCTTAAGATCTTTATGAAGAAATGTGGTTTTTATGTCCATATAGTAGAGTTGCCATTTGTTTTTTACAAAAAGAGGTAATATCATGCATATTATGTCCTATTAAATAACTAGAGCAAAGGTTTTTTTATAATTTAGTATTTATTTATTTATTTATTTATTTATATATAGAGTTCTATCTATTTTTAATCTATATGATTCCATTATTTTTGAAAAAAGAGGTGAAGTTGTCACGGACATACATTTATAAATCAATAATTAGATAAAAGTAGATACATGTAGATTAATTCCATAATATCTTCTATACAAGCTTCTTAAAAGCTTCATAGATGCTGCTTTGATTTCATAGGTGTCTATAATTGATTTTTTAGGTTAGAAATGTAGTCAACAAGTTAACCATGTATCATATATGTTGGTAGCTTGAAGAACTTGCTAATTATGTGGCGCATACATAGAAAACTTGTCTTATAAGCTAAGGTATGTGTCTTGCAAAGTCAATACATATTAGAAGTTCTATAGAATATTGCCACATAGCTCTTAGTTATATAGTATATATAGAACCAAGAATGAAGCTTTCTTCACTCTTGTCAATACCTTTTTTGGTTCTAATCTAGATTTAAGAATCTTTAGATTTCTAATCTTTTGACAATAGCCATTCCAGTTTTCTTTTAATATACATATTTTTTTTATTTTTATTTCTTATACTTATTTATTTACTTTCATCAAGTTCTTGTCTCTAATAAATTGACAAGATTACACTTATAATATTA